GACTTGTACTAAAAAAAATCAAAATATTTTACCAAAAAAATAAATAATAATCAAATACATTGACAAGTGTGTATTCTCAACTCCGCCTGAAAATTAACACTCAAAAGAGAAAAGTTTTAGTCATTTAATCCGTCCATAATAACAATATTTTACTTAATAAAATTTCTTTCGTACCCATTAAAAAAACATTTCTTCTCCCACAGCTTCAATATACCGTGTGCTACTCCCACCTCTACTGTCACCTCTAAATTCTTCTCAGGCAAATCTCGCAGCACCAACCACTCTCCGTGATCATACTACCCAAACAATCCATGAAGGTGCAAACCCGACGAAAACGATCAAAGTCAATATTGAAATCAGAATCTTAATTAATCAAGTGAAGGGTCCAATTAAAATGGGTCACTCGCAAAATTTGAATTTTCTTTTAAGAGGATTATGGTAACATTAAAATGTCAACTTTCCACAAAATCAATCTCATAACCTTAAATGACGCCCTAGCCCTACACAACATTACAAATCTCAGACCTCAAAATTTCAACTTCTGGATTCCAAAATCTCCCAGAAAATCAGGAAAAAAAAATGTCTCGGAGGATAAGCATGTTTCGCAAATCAAAAACTAAGTAATTCAACCATGTCTCGATGCTAGGAGTGTTAACGGGATGAGCCAAATCGAGTTTTGGTAAGATTAAGCTTGTGTTTAAATGTGACCAAGCATGTTACTTATTATGAATATAATTATCGGCACGTGGTCTGACTTATTTACAAAAAATAAAAGCCTGGTTTAGCTTGTTTAAAAAAATTAAGACAACAAAAATTTATCCAAAAAAAATATATAAACATCAACACTAGTAATTCCATAAATATTCATAAATTCAATGTATATCCAAACAGCAAAATATAAAACAAAATCATTCAAAAAGTTTGTTTAACCAATAAAATGGGATGAAATAGATTGAGGTGAAAGAGAGGACTGTTACAAGTAGTATAAAAAATATAAAATAAAAATTAATATACTAGGTCAGTCTGGGAGGCTCTAAGACCGAGCTTTTGAATTGGAGTCTAGGGCCTTTTATCAAACTAGCTTTTATACAAGTTAAAACCTGATTTCAACAACCAATTTTTGACATGTAAGCTCAGGCCTTCACGAGCCGAGTCAAAGGCATCGGTTCGTTTACCACCCCTACTCGGTGGCAAGGCTAGTGCTTTCTCTTGGTGATATTCTCCCTATTACCGTGAGATGAGCCAGATCATTGTTATAGTTGTTAGGAACTTCTCCAAACAGTAAGTGTTACAACTTCGACAAGTGCACCGGTCGTACAAGTAATAGAATGGTAAAAGTAAGGTTGTCGATTCCACGAGGATAGATTACCAATCAGTAACTAACTTATCTATGTGATTAAAGTTGAAGCGATCTTAAAATGGATTTTGTTGAGAGAATTAATTTAACAGAATTTTGAAGAAATTATTTTTAATTTTCAATATTTAAGAAATTAAGAACTGAATTCAAGAACTAATAACGCGAAGAAATTGGTTTTTAACTTTTACTAAAAGACATAGCTAGAAACTCGACTTCCCTAATATTTTCCTAACAACTCTACCCCTTCTTACAATCAAGATTCAAGATTAAGTTATTAACAATTATTTCTAAAATTGATTAAATCTCAATCCCTTGGTAATATTATCATTTACTTTATTTAAAAGCCTAATCCCTTAGAACCTTTTCCTAAAGCAAGCATTAACGCAGGAACCATAAAGTTATAAAATTTGTAAGCCTAGCCCTAGATCACACAAACTCTAGCAATTAATCAATCAGAATCAAAACACCAACATCCCTATTGTCATGCAAGATTCTAATGCCCATTCAAGATTGGCCAAATCATAAACGAGACTAGGAATTTAAAATAGATTAATTGCATAACTCAAATCATAAATATAAATTGCAAGAAAGGATAAACAGCGTTCAAGAACCCATTGGTTCCGTCTTGCCCTAACTATATAAAAAAATTTAGCCTAACATATTCATAAAATCAGAATAAAAAGATGAAAAGAAAATATAACGGTTCATAGAAACTTAGCAGATAAACTCCACGATGAATTCTTGATTTTCTATTTTTCTTTCTCTTCTGCAATCCTCCCCAGAATTTCTCCTCTGCCTTCTTCCGTATTCTGAATGCGTTTCAACAACTTTCGTCTCGTTCTATTTAAAGGATTAAATTGGGCCTTTATTTTTGGGTCAGCTTGCTGACGATGAATTTTGACTTTTTCTTTATTTTTCTTGATCTTTATCCTTTGCAATTGCCTTTATCCTTTATAATTGGTGATTTGTTACTTTATGCCTGAAACAATATGAAAATAGATCAGAATCTTATCTAGTTGTTAGAATCTTAATATCTTTTGGATTTATTAATTGACACTATATTCTTAATCGTATTAATCATTATTTAAACTAATTTTGATATTAAAAACATGGGATAAATGAGAATCATGTTACAGGAACAAAATTGCTTGTTATGCAACACTACCGACAAGGCAAAGTCATTGAACAACGTGTATCTTCCTCTTTCTTTAATATTATTTTCCTTGTCTGTTTTCGTGGCAGGAAGAAAAATTTCTTCAAGTAACACGACGAAATGAAAGTCCTAAAAACATAGTGTTTTTCACACTTATCAATAAGTTTTCATTTATTCTTTAATTGAAATACAATAGTTTCACTTAAAAATATATAGAGTTGTGTCATTTAAAATTATTAACACTTCTACATGAAAGGTAATGATTAAACTAAGGGGTATTTGGCATAGAAGAAACTCTTTTATTCCTAGGAATGATGATTTATAGGAATATGCTAGGAAAATGAATTTCTCAAAAATGTTACCAAAAAAGTGTTTGATAGACTAAAATATTACCAAGAATGTTGGCTCAAGTTTCCTAGTTCTATATTTAGTTAATTGTCAAATATTAATAAAAATGTGGAGGGATTTTACAAAATTAACCTTAACCATCATTTTCATTCAAAACTTTTCCATATTAACTTCGTAACAGAATTTTTACATAATCGATACAGAAAACAAAATCAACATTTTAGCCAAAAATAAAATTGGGAAAATTTTCTAGAACTCTACAAATTCTAGTGGGCCAAAAAATCCATTTTTATTATCTTTGCACTAAGAAAAAAACCTTTCAGCCTCACTGTAATCTATACCTTCACCACTCTTCTTTCTCAGTTGTCACTAACCCAAAAAAATCCACCAAATCCCAGAAAAGCTCGAAATTTGAACAGCATACACATGGCTCATGATACACAAACCAAAAAGCCTTAACAAAAAACCACTCTCAGCTTGATATTAGCAAGCCCCAAATGCACCCAGAGTTTCCTTAACCATCAAATGAATTTGAGTTGCTTCATCTCTTGTTATGGGGTGAATGGGTTGTTTGGTGTCTCAGCTAGCTGCAAAATTTGTCTTTTTCTCTGAGAAACACAGGGTATTTTCGTCCCAAACATTTGAGAAATTCTTCCATCGTGTGGGAATCTAAGAATACCACCTACCTGGAGGTATTCTTTAATGGGATTTTGCTTCACGAAAATAAATTCTGGGAATCTAATTTTTTTCAGAAAAATTTTCACAATCCTTATATCAAAGGTGGATAAATAGGATCCTCAATATCAGTTTCTCGAGAATCTAAAATTTATTCCTCTACCAAATATCGAAAAAATTCATTGTCATTTTAAAGTATATAATTTTATATTATTTTAAGTGAAATGATTTGATATATTTTGTTGATTTTTTATATTTTCTCTCATCCATAATACTTTTTCTTCATAATTATGTGGAGAAGAGAGAATAAAAAAGGCCAACAAATATTTTTCCGCTAAACTAAAACCCAAAGGTGAATGCAAACAAGATACATGCTTGACCGCTTAAATAAAGTCGTGAGTTCAAGTCATTATGAATGCGAAAAATTTACTTTGAGAAAACTAGTTCTACCATAATGTAGATGTTCTCAGCTTGAATAGGATTTTCTCCGATACCTTAGTTTATCAACAACAACAAGACCAAAGGTGAAAATGTTTTTACCTAGTCCGTTCTCTTGCTTATAATTTATAAACGTAAACTGTAATTTAATGTAAAACAACAACTCGACAAGTGCTCACCGTCCTCTTGCTCTGTTCACACTCACTTTTTTTTCCTCCTTATATTGCAATGGAGGTTTAAGGCTTCAGTTGCAAGGTATAGGAAATGGAAAGGTAGGCTAAAGCAAACAGACCGACATTGATGGAATTTGGTTATTGGATAACACAAAAAGTAATAATTGAGATATATGAAGATAGTTAGTTTACGTAGTTCCTACTTGGATTTTTTTTTTATAACCAAAAGTTAGGTCAAATAATTTTTTATAAAAGTTTTTATAATAATAAAAAAAAAAAAAAAAAAAGCAAAAGTCAAAAGCTCCTAAAAGAATTTTTTTTTAAGTTATATTATTTATTTTTTTGAATTGTGTGTGTTTTTTTTTTAAATAAACAGTTTTTAAACTAAAAGTTTTATATAATCATCAAACAACGCTGTAATTATATTTTTTTTTAACTTAAAAAAAAAAAATTCCAAACATATGCTTAGTTGCGTTTTCAACATTGTCCAATCAGTCTCTAAAAGGATTTAAAATTACCTGAGCCAAAAACTATTGTCAATCCTTCACTTTGTAACTACTTTCTGTCCCATATTTTAAGCCATATGTTCAACCAAGCTACACATTACACCTACTTTTAAGCAATTCTCTTTTCCCCCTCTCTTTCTCTGGCCTCCAGTCCCGGGTCACATAAGAGCAACTAAAGTCGTTGAGCAAGGGGTAGTTGAATTTAAGTTACTAATAAGATGGTGGATAATTGGGTGGTCATTTACTATTCAATCAATCTAATTTAGAAACCATTTACTATATAAAGCCTGCATGCCACTTTGCTTTTCATTCCATCTCAACCTCACTTTATCAGTTCTCATAATTTCTCTCATTTTAATCTCTAGACATTTGGTTTCACCTTCACAGTTCCAATATGGAGTTTTATCTCTTTCCCATCATTACTTTTCTCATGGTGAGCTTCAACTTCACACCCCCCAACCCAATCCACTTTTCTTCAAGTAGTTTTGGTTTATTTACTTATTTTTTTTCCTTTGTGAACTTCAAAGTCTCTATTTGCTTGTGAAATGCTTCTGTTATGAGAAACTAATTAATGAGGTTTCTATTTCGAAATGCAGCATGTGCTAGTGGCAACTAATGCTGCGTTACCTCCTCAACTTTACTGGAAGTCCATGCTTCCCACCACTCCAATGCCAAAAGCCATCACTAATCTGCTACTCCCTGGTTAGTAACGTAGTCCAAAAGGGTGCCTATCTTCAAATATCATACTCATTTTATATACAAGAAATATTGCTTTCAATTACTTAATTTCAAGCTTTATCAACAGAAGTGGAAGCAATTTGGAATGACAGATTAAAAAATTAAAAACATTTCACAATTGTATTAGTTAATTCTTTTTCCTAGACTATGCACCTCTATAGCGACTAAAATATTTAGGAATTAGAAACAATATACCTTCTCCTACTTTATTAAATAGTTATTTTTAATTTTATTCTTATACTTCGTAGTAATTCTATGAGGCTTTCTTGGTGTTATAACGCCAACAAACTGCACAAACAATATTCAAAACAGTGGGGCACTTGTCAGGACTAAATAAAAAATGAGTGTGATATATAGAAATCAAAAATATATTTTAACCTACTCAAATTTACTGTTTTTTTAACTGAAGCTGGATAAATTTGCAGATTGGAAGGAAGAGAAAGCTACCTCAGTGGGTGTAGGAAAAGGTGGTGTAAATGTTGGTGTAGAAAAGGGATATGAAGGAGGTGGCACTGATGTTAATGTTGGTGGAGGAAACGGAGGAGTTTCTGTAAGAGCAGGACACAAAGGAAAGCCAGTACATGTTGGAGTTGGATATTCACCATTTAATTACATTTATGCTGCCACTGAGACCCAATTACATGATAACCCCAATGTAGCCCTTTTCTTCTTGGAAAAAGACTTGCATCATGGTACCAAATATAACTTGCACTTCACTGAGATCTCTAATGCAGCCACATTCTTGCCTCGCTCAGTTTCTGATTCCATACCCTTTTCATCAAACAAGGTGGATAACATATTCAACAAGTTTTCTGTCAATCCAGAGTCAGAGGAGGCTGAAATTATGAAGAACACCATCAGTGAGTGTGAAGAGCCTGCCATTAGAGGAGAGGAAAAGCTTTGTGTAACTTCATTAGAGTCCATGGTTGATTTCAGCACTTCCAAGCTTGGGAATAATGTTGAGGCTGTTTCAACAGAAGTGAACAAAGAAACTGAGTTACAACAATACAGCATAGCAAAAGGAGTGAAGAAGATCGGGGGAGAGGACAAGGGTGTAGTGTGCCACAAGCAGAATTACCCATATGCAGTGTTTTACTGTCACAAAACAGATACAACAAGAGCTTACTCTGTGCCAATGGAGGGTGCTGATGGAAGCAGAATCAAAGCAGTGGCAGTGTGCCACACTGACACATCACAATGGAACCCAAAGCATTTGGCCTTTCAAGTTCTCAAAGTTCAACCAGGAACTGTTCCTGTTTGCCACTTCCTCCCTCAGGATCATGTTGTCTGGGTTACCAAATAGAAACACAAGAATCCCATTTGTGAAGTTTTAATAGCATAAGATGAGCTATAAAACTGAATCCTAGTACTTACTTGCATTACATTATCCAACTATACCATCATGTTTGCTTTTACAGTTTTATGCATGTTATATTTGCTACTGTTGTATTACGTACGTGCTAATATATGAATAGTTAAACTTTTTCGTTCGTGTGAAAAAGTGTTTTTGGATTTCGAATCGGGTGGTGTTATTTATTTGAACCGAAATATTTCTGCACCATTTTATATTTAAAAAAAAAAAAAAAAAAAAAAGTATGCTAGAAGTGTGTAGTCTTTTTTTTTTTTTTTTTTATCATCCATTAAAAAAGTGGAGTGAAAATTGTGTAAAAAAAAGTTGTGTAAATAACATCATTGATTTGAATTATCGACTGGCTGGATGCCATGACCTTCTGGTGATTGTTTACTGTAAAGAGAAAACACGAAAAGAACATGTTCACTCCAAATAATGTAGGTAACAAAGGGAAAAGTAATTTTGCAAAGTAAGCGGGAGATAAAGTTATTTTCAGTTTATTTCCGGTGACCTAAACAATATCGTTTTGGGATCGTAAAATTAAAAATTATAATGATAAAGACTAATATAACCTTGCAATAAATTAAAATTACAAAATCATTTTGATTTTCGTTACAAAATGATATCATTTTATACTCATCGAAAATAATTTATCTCCATGAGAAAATAATTTATCCAATTATAAATATCTAAACTTGGAACTTAAAAAAGATACTTTCTTTTTTGTGCAATGAACCTATTGTACACGCGAGTTCAATACACGAAAAAATAAAATAAAATAAATTCAGTGAGAAGACAACAGTTAAATAATTTATTTCAACAACATGCAGGTATTTGTGGAAAACTTGAAATTATGCTCCAAAATAACTGACGACAGAAAAAAAAAATTATTGAATCAAAGGCAACCTTAAAGATATTAGATTTATAAATCATCTTAATAAATTCCATATTACTTAAATAAATCTCAATTCCATATTAATGTAAAATTCCATTGCTCATACTTAGATTGTCAAAACTTTCAACCAATTATTAACTATAAAAAGTTCCAAAAAACTTACCAAGTCCTCAAAAAACTTTTATCAACATTTTCTCCATTTTGATACATTATCAGATCCCTTAAAAATTGTGTGAAATAATAATTTAAATAAACTACTTAACAAAGTGTAAAATAACTTCGCTTTACATTAGCTTTGAATGATACATTCTATGCGGAGAGAAGATCACGGTCGTCATTTTTTTTCCCCTAACTCAGCCTTACAACCCGATGTAAATGAATATATACAAATCTCTACAAAAATTTTGTTTTCCTATCTACAAAAATTGATGTGATGAATGATAGCAGTATTGCCACTTGATAGGCACAGAAACAGTGAAACTCATTTTGCTATTTACTCGGCGAGGACTCCACATATTCTACACTGTAAAAGCTTCGCCGCCATAATTCTTTACGCGGGCACTCTCAGATAATTTCCCTCCCTTCCAAACCGCCCAATCAATAATGGTGAATGCACCACCCAACATCATCAAATACCTTCATCTGGTCATGAACAAAAATAGCCTTTCTGCTTCAGGATTCAGTGATGAGAGCGTCAACTTTGAATTTATCAGGTGCAAATGGCTCCAAAGATCCCCACGTTCTTCCAACCTTAAGTTTGACATGCAGAGGAACTGCAGAAGCATGAAACAGGGAATATGTGATTTCACCATACAAGCAAAACCTCAATTCCAATCACCAACCTCCATCTTCACCCCAAAAAATTCCCTAAAGAATAAATTGTTTATGGAATACAAACCAAGAAGTGAGACAGCATTCTCCATGCTTGTCTGTAACAGCAGGGCAGCTTCCTTTATAACGGAAGGATCAACTTCCAGCACTAATTCATCGTGTACCTAATTAAAAATCACTAAAATGATTGAAACACACAAACAAACAAAAATAAGAAAATAAAAATCCTCTAAAATTAACCTGTAACAGAATCCGGCAACGATCTCTAAGCATGTGGAACTTGGTTGCTATTGAAGAACTGGAATCCAAGCTATCAACTCCAGTGACAATTAGAGAGTAAATTCTTATCATTGCAATCTTAATTATGTCGGCAGCAGAACCCTGAATAGGGAGGGTGGAGGGGGAGAAGGAGATAAAACAACACTAAGATGAACACTGATAAGCTCTGAAGAAAACCCGCGACCTATAAGAGAAAGAAAAATTATACTATACCTGACAAATGGAATTCACAGCTTGCCTCTGAGCTTTTGATTTTTCTGTACTAGTGCCAAATTTTATTTTTGACAAAAATCGTTTTCTTCCCCTAAGAGTTTCCACATATCTGGATCGTACATACAGAAAAGTAATCCACAATTAAGGCCCAAAAGTAACAAGTTTAACAAGAATGCATACACCAAGTGCTAGAATAAAACACATATAGCATTGATAAGCATAGTTTTCTGCACGGTTAGATATAGAGATCAAAAACAAGAAACAAAAATTAGGTTCAAATAACAAAAGAGACTATCATATTTTACACACACACACAAGATGCAAAGTCGGAACAAGGTCTCCTCACCCTTTACTACGACAAGATGCAACAGCTTCGTGAAGCCAGGAAGCAACCCCTGGAAATGAGCTTCTGAAGTTACCAATCTTTTCAGCAGCTTCATCAGAAGAGCAATTCAGTTGTTCTGCAAGGCTATTGGCACCCATACCATAAAGAATACCATACACCATCCTTTTGGTCTGATCTCTCTCCTGAGAACCCACGGAAACCTCAGGACACCCAATCCATCTTGCTGCTATCATTGTAAAGACATCACCATCAGGCTTACTGAGAAGTTCAACAAGTGAAGAGTCTTTAGAGAAGTGTGCCATCAACCTTAATTCTATCTGAGAATAATCGGCTGTTAACAGTAACCAGTTGTCCTGCAATTGAAACAAATAAATAAGAATAGAAATAGTAATAGACCATAAGTATACCAAATATTTAACGAGGAAGGATATTCTTACTACCAAAATTTTCTACTACTAACTTACTACCTATCTAATCACCATTGAATTAAAGAGAGAGAATGCTAAAAAGTTTTTGGAAAAAGAGAAAATATTAATCCAATAGTGATTAGATAGGTAGTGAGTTGGTAGTAGAAGATTTTGGTAGTAAGAATATTTCTCCTCATATTTAACATGTTGAAATGATAATACAAAAGACGAAGTACTAAAATTTATTTATACTAATAGAAGACTCCTAATCATAATTAAATAAAGAAACAAATCATAATATAAAGAAATATGAAAAAGCAGATCTAAGGTGGGTGGGTACGAATGACCCACTACCTAAACAGTGCTTGTTGGATGAGGTGAGACCAGATCTAGGTAGAGGATAGCGAGGCAAGGGATGAGGTGAGTCAAATGAACGACAACAACAAATCCCTTTTCCCACTAGGTGGGGTTGGCTACATGAATCAAAAAACGCCATTATTTCCTGTCAAAAACCAATTGCAAAATGACCATCGATCAAGGTTTTTTGTAATGGTATCGCTTAAAAGTTTTCTTTAGTCTTCCTCTATCTATATTTGGCTATTCTCCACACGTTTTAAGGTGCCAAATAACTAATGAAGATATAAGTGATGTGGTATGTCTGAATTCAAAATTAAAAGGGTAATTTAATAAAAGAAAAACATATAATGAATGGTATATGAAAAAGTGTGCTGCAACTAATTTAACACAAAAACTTAAACTGTTACGTGAAGGCCACATTAATGGTTTTATATTATATTTCTCAAACACGCTCCCTCACACAGAAGTCCATTGGAGTGGAAGGGTGAAAAATGCACAAACCTACCTGCCTGTACTAAAAAACTCTAATATTTAATTATTTATTAATAGAATAGGGTTGTAGATGCTCTAATACCATGTAATGCAACCAATTCAACCAAAAACTTAAGTTGTAAGTTGTTAGCTGAAGATCACGTTAATAGTTTCATATTATATTTCTCTAACCAAAAGTAATTCTTGACTTCAGGTAAAGGCAACAAAAGAAGAAAATCAGTTTTATCAGAAGAACAATATTCTTAAAGTTCCAACAAAAGAAGAAAACAAAAAATAAACCATTGTCTCTAAAAATAATTCTGTCTTTCTAAAAGTAAACTAACCGCGAGCAAGGCTAGTCTCTTTCTAAAACTAGTGACTAGGATCCGGAGAGAGAGAGAGAAAGACAGCGATTGTTGATTTTGTTCTGCTTTAAATGTGATTAGAATATCAGTAGGGATCTCTGTAAAGAACCAATTCAACCCAAAAGCTTAAGCTATTGGGTGAGGCTACATTAATGGTTTTTATATATCTCAACATGCCCCCTCACACGAGAGCCCACTGGGCTTAAAGGGTGAACAATGCACAGGCCCACCTACCTGTGCGAAGAAAGAAATTCCACTAGAAAGAAAGTGGGGGACGGTGAGGATCGAACCCGGTATACTGAGGCTCTGATACTATGTAAAGAACCAATTCAACCCAAAAGCTTAAGCTGTTGGGTGAGACTACATTAATGGGTTTTATATATCTCAACAATCTCGCAGTATGTGTATAACGTTAAAATTCATTTTAAGGACATTCAGTAATTTTTTTGTTGGCATGACATTGGAAAAACTACTTTACAATGGTATAAAAACAAAGAACACAAGTTCAGAAGAAACCAGGCGTAAAGTTAAAGGTGTATCACCTGAGTAGGAACAAAGAAGTCACGAGCATTAATCCTACAATAACTCTCATCAGCATCACCTCCATTTTTTTCCTCCTCTTTCAATTTGAAGTCCACTGTATGCTCAACGCACTGCATTATTCAACAAGAAAGAACATAACATTAGTAGTTAGCTGAAAGAAAAATTAAAAAGAAAAAACGCTGATAAAAGAACCCAAACCTGAAGATTAGGTTCCTCCATTGAAAGCCGACCAGTTGCTGTGGATGTCTGGAGCCAATGACCATGTAATGTGTACTTCTGTGTACTAATAGATAGCCTAGCCAGAGAACAAATTGATCCTAGCGTAGAGTTCAAGAGCTTTGCCATTGTTCGATACTCTTTAATGACCGGAACAATGGGATGTTCATTCCTGAAATAATTATCAAATTTTATAGGACACCGCTTGCAAATAAAGAATACAAAGGGAAATTTCCACACGTTGCACACAATACAAATTAGTGACATACAAATTTTGAAACTTGTAGATATCACACGTACAAAAACTTGTGCAACCTCCAGCATGGTAAATATACATCCCCAATTTCAACATTTCAGCTATTTTAAAAAATATGTACTAAAAAGGAAATAAATTATGTTTTAGTAGGTATAATCAATAATGAATCATTAGGAAAATAACAGGGAAGGTTCATTGTAATATTAGTAGAAAATATGAATATAATAATTTCGCTGTCAGTGGTGATGGTAATTTAGGTATAATCAATTAGGAAGGTGTATGTGAGAAGAAATAAGGATGGGTCCACTATATTAATAGTAGTTAAAGTGATATTGTTAGATACATTAGACAGAGTTACCTGATATTAATTGATATTTTTAGATATAATAGATAGAGTTAATTGATGCTGATAGATATATATAGTTAGGGGATTTATAATCAATCTTTGTACCGATTATATCATTATACTTATAAATCCCCTCCACACATCATTTTGTAGAGATGAAAAATCAAAGAAAAGGGACATCTGTGTACAATATGAAAATAGAAGTGTGAACGTTGATTTTGCAAACTTATGCGTGTTTAGTGTTAATCACTCTTCTATACATTTTTTCAAATAACAACAAACAACACAACAGCAAAGCATAAAAAAATAATTATAAGATTCTCTTTATTATGGATTATGAGCTACAAAAGGGAAAAGGAAACTTGCTTAATACCTCAATGCATCCAAACAGTGCTTGTCAGTACTTGGATGTTGTTTTCCCTTATTTCGTCCATCAGGTATAGGCAGCTTCAAATGTTCATACAGCACCTTTGCAATATCTGCTGGCATATGCAATGAAAACGTCATCCCAGCCAGTTTATAAGCTTCCTTCTCAAGATGTTTTAGCCTTTTCACCAACAATTTACGAGCCTGGATGCATTTCTCCAAATCAACACCAATTCCCCAAAGTTCCATGTCAGCTAGAACATTCACCTAACACAAAAGTGTTAAAAGTAGCATCAAATATTTCAAGCATGTAATCTGTTAAGATCCTACATCTGCTGGGTATGTGAGCAAAGTATCTCTTTTAATGACTTTGGCAATACTCCCCCATTGAGCTAGCTTTAGGGGTTGAGTTTGGCCAAGTAGGTTCTCCATTCTAATATAACCATTTGAATTAATTAAGCACATAAAAACATAGAAGTAAACAAGAAAGTAACTTGGTATAGCTAATAATAGTCTTTATCCTTTTTCTTTATTCCTTTTCCCAGAATGATCACTTTCTCTTCCTTCTTATTTCCTAGGATGACAATGTTGAGCACAAAGTTGAGGGGGGAAAATAAAAGTATGACATAATATCTAGAGAGATAAAATGAATTTCTCTAACATAGAATTGAATGTTTGTATCCTACATATCATGCCCACAAAACTTCAAATTAATCCAAGATTGTTTTGTGCTGTATCAAAATGTCTTAAAATTAAGACACGATACACTTTCCAAATATAAGCAAATATCAACCATTTTATCTCATTTATTTTTGTTTAATTTGATTTTTATTTAAGTTTTCATGCAATATCAACATGATAACTATTTATAATTTAGCAGTTACGGTCATCAAAATCACTTTCTATAATGAATTACCAAGTGCACGGAGGACCTTACATAGTGTCAATTGATCCGTTTATAATATACCACCAAATATAAAAAGTTTAAAACATAAAGCAACAATTATATTCTTCATTAAGGGTAAACTACATTCACAATTGAACGATGAATCTATATAAACATACCAATATGAAATATAAATATATAATTAAGTTGTTAGCTAAAGGCTTATGAAATATAAATGTATAATTAAGTTGTTAGCTAAAGGCTTATGAATGGTTTTATATCTGAAACGCTCGCTCATGCACAAGCCCATGGCTTGAAACATGGACAATGCATAGGCTTACCTATCTTTTGCTGAAATTCAATTTTTATTTAGTTGAATGAAGGTACCAAGGATTGAACTAGATTACTTGGTTATTAAGACTCTAATACCATGTCAAAAATCAACTCTCCCAAAAAGTTAAGTCATTAGGCAAATGCTCATAAGTGGTTTTTTATCTAATATAATCTTTCTTTTTCTTCTTGCAGATGTTAGAAATCTTTAAAACAAAATTCAAGAGAAAAGACCAAGCTCTGTTAAGTGAGTGTTTAGAATGTCTCCGCACATGTCCATGAGGGGGCCCCAAGTGAATCCAAAAAATTGAGCAACATTTGAGTTTTTTTTTTCTTTTGATAAATGTTCACTATTCAAATTTATATTTTTCTTTGACACGTACAGATATTTATAAAAGCACAAGTGGGTTAAAATACACGTCATACATGACACACTTCTTTAAGCATGCCAAAGCATCATAGATTCTTTATTCTTACCAGTGGAATTTCTATTCCCATAAGCACATCAACAAGTTTCTCAGAAACAAGTAATTTCCAAAGAACAGAACATAATGCTCGTGTTTGAGCAACCCGACGACAGCAACCATTATGAGCAGCTCTTCGTGTCTGATTCCTCCACCTGCCACTCTGATTAGCCGCTGCAGCATCCTCAGAGGATAACCTCTTCTTTACCTCCTAAATAATCAAGCATAATTGTTAACACTAGTACACTACACTATCAAAAAATCATTATTTATTTTGACACCAAATGTGCAGGTGTTTGTACACTTACGTGTGCAGTACAACTATTCACATTACCTTATCCAGGTTTGGATTGGAGCTCCTCTCTTCATCAGGCCAAAGAATCCAAGCTACAACACACATGTCAATTGCATCTTTAACATGGATGGGGGGCAATAATATGTAAGAATTGTCTACGATTTCAAGGTCCATATTTTTTCCTAGAGTGTCCAAGGAACCAAATCTCTGAACTGAAACTGCAGGTTTTTTCAGCACTTGAATCTGAATCTTCAAATTCCAGGCAAACTTTCTGACATTTCTTTTCCCTATTATTTTACTAATTCTGCTCCATCTATACCTAGCAATCTCCAAATCTTGCTTAGACTTAGAAGATGAAACTTTCTGCTTATTACTGCATGCACTCAAGGAAATACACTCTTCTTTTCTAATGTCATACATCAGAATATCCCTGGGAAGATTAACGTAGTACACAGGAGAGTTTTCCCAACAGATGGCAATGCCATGTACTTCAAAAGGGGCAGCACAGTGCAACTCCAATCGTTTGATGTAATGGATATCAAAGTAGAACTCTGGCATAGCGTCCCATAGATCCAAAAATGAATCAAGTCCACCAGGAATACTAACTGCATTAATGGGACCTCTCCGGCTGGAACTACCCACATTACCACTAGCCAAATTTCCACCCTGATGTTGTTCCTCTCTACCATGAGCATGGCACCTGTCATGTATATTGGACTTATCATTTGGTTTCTGTAACTGAACAGAGAGGGTGGTCATATCTGGGTTCTTGGTAGGGTTAGAAGTGGCATTGAGCTCATTCCTCATAGGTTCTGCAATTGGAACAGTAGACAAGCTACATGGCATCATGCTGCTTGATTTTCCTTCTACATAAGCCATAGCACCATTGTCAGATGATTTTATCAAGTCTTCTCTTTCTTTTTCTAAAGCAATTTTGTTAGAATTATCAACGTGGTTTGCATCAACAGAACTATGACTTGTGTCAGCTGTGTCACTTCGAGAGGTACTTCCAGCTTCTTGCCTGATAGAATCAGGTGCAGCAGTAGATAATATGGAAGGAGCAAACTGTGGGACATTGTATCCAAGTGACTTAAAGGCTGAGAAAGCAGCAACCCTTGCCTCTTCTGCTTTATCAAGAACAATCTTGCGAGCACCATTCTTTATCTTCTTGGCGACACCAAATTGTAAGCTCCTTTGTGCAGAACCTTACAAAGAAGTAAAATCCACTCTCAGTGATAAGAAAAATCTACAGCAGCTTCACAGACTTCAAAGTAATAGATCAATGTAATTAATTTAAGCTGTAAAAGAAAGACACAAAAAAGACAAAGTTGACAAATTAAAAATATATTGCATTGCCAATGGTCTTTAACTTGAAAATGTCCTCAAGGAAACTGACAAAATATCTAGCATGAAAGATGTTAATCCAGTTATTTTAGAGCCATATTTACCAAATATAATTTCTAGGAATAAAATATCAACAATACAATCCCAACCTTTCTTTGTTAGATAAAAATCTCAAACTTCAAACCCAATAAAAAGTAATTCACAGACAACTTTTTTCATAGATCACCTTCTGCGGCCCATGATGAAGATTCAAAAAGCGCTTTTACTATTTCCAGAATGGATGCTTCAGCAATTGCAAGAGGTGTACGTAAACCTGCTTTATAGAGTGCTCTGGCTCGAGAGCCCTGAGCATTGAATGATAGAAACAAGGCACAAGAGTGAGTGCAAATAAAAACCAATAGCAATGGCAAACTATAAGTTATTTAACCATAAGGAGTATTTCAAACTATCATAGAGCTTCAGTACACTTACTTTAACATAGGGAATGGTGGTAAGCTCTACAACCTCTGCTCTAACTCCAAATGATACACGATTTTGAAACTTAGAAACTAACCCTTCCAGATCATGCCAGCTAAGTCTTTCGCAAAACACAGCAACCATAGATGCAAACCTACCAGCATTATCTTGCAAGGATTGAACCATTCCTCTGGCAACTTTAAATGCTTCGCAAACCTCACCCACAGGAGTTTCCTTCATAAAATCACATTTATTCGTAAATGATATAAACTCTAATGAAATTTTAGGGATTACATGGAAAGGGGTAAAGAAAGATAGAGAAGGAGCACAAAAGTATAATTCACTAATGAGACTCTAAATACTTGCAAAACACGAAACAAAAACCCCTATTTATACTAATATTCTAGGTACAGTGCAAGTGTTGTACAATTACCACTAGCCCAACTCAATAGCACCCACATGTTAGTATAAAAGTACACTTGAACATAGGAAATTGAAATATTAAGCTCATGGCTTGTTACAAATTATTGAGTTTCCTTCATGCAATTACAAGATTTGGTTAGCCTATTTACATTATTTACATATTTTCCAACTCTCCCCCTCAAAATGTAGCAATATAGGTCAAATACACCAAGCTTGTTACATATTTAACTTAATTGAGGACCTATAAAGACTAAGTGAAAAAATTTGTCGATTAGTCAATTGAGTTGACAAAGTGTTGATGCATCTAGATTAGAGTTTCTCTACAATGAAGTGGGGGAAAAAAAAGCAAACCCTAGTGCACAAGGTTCTCCGACTATGCGAGAGTAATGATGAGGGTTGATTATACACAGTTTTACCCTTGCATTTTTGCTAAGAGGTTGTTTTTGATAATCGAACCCATGACCTTTCGATCACAAAAGAGAAACCTTCCAACGAAGTGAAAATTGATCTTAAGATGTTTGATCCTCTCGTTAACCTCCACAAATTGAAGTTCTTTAAGTAGTTGTTTTAAGCAAACTAATTCACAAGTGGCTAAGGCCATGACTCAATATTCTACTTCGCTTTTTTTTTTCTTTGACTTTTCTTTTCACTCAACGAAGTGAAAATTGATCTTAAGATGTTTGATCCTCTCGTTAACCTCCACAAATTGAAGTTCTTTAAGTAGTTGTTTTAAGCAAACTAATTCACAAGTGGCTAAGGCCATGACTCAATATTCTACTTCGCTTTTTTTTTCTTTGACTTTTCTTTTCACTAATTTAGTGAAAAGAAAAGTCAAAGAAAAAAAAAATTATATAGAAAACTATTCTATATTAGATAGTTATATAGAATAAATAATCAAAATAAAATTCAATTGAATATAAATAACTAAAACGACGTTACGAAATTCAAAGGAATAATGAACCAATTTACTAATAAAAAAGATTCATTCAAGAATAGAAAAAGATATATTCGAATAGAATAAATAGAGAGATAGGATCTAAGCGGGTAGCGGGAATCGAACCCGCATCGTTAGCTTGGAAGGCTAGGGGTTATAGTCGACCAAGACTGGACATGGGGACTTGCTTCTTACTTTTCCAAGATATCAAATTATCCTCAAAGAATATATAGTAACTAGAGCCTAAAGGTGAACCTTCTATCAGTACGGGAGCCTGCCAAATAGCATCCGAGTAACCAACAATTTGATCTTCTATTAGTAAATGGACCTTCATAGAAAAGGCCTTCCTTAGGAGCTCTTTGACATATTTTAAAATAAAAATCACCACACTGAGGAATTGACTTACCAAAGTGATTGGAAACGAGGTGTCTGACCCAACTAACCTTTTATATCTTACTAGGAGTTTAGTATTTGGATTCATACGAGTTCCAACAAACTTTGCATTCAACAAATTGGTTTCCTCAAGAATGTCCATGGCATACTTCCTCTATGAAATCAAGATACCATCCTGGAATTGTGCCACCTCTAGTCAAAAGAAGTACCGACGTTTGCCAAAGTCTTTATTTTGAAATTTATGAACAAGATATTATTTTATATAAGTTATGTCATAAAGATCACTACCAATGATAATTATGTCGTAACATACACAATCAAATAAAACATCCTTGAACTCTATGTTGCACCGACACGACACTCCGACACGTTAATTCTAAAAAATGTTAGATTTTGACACATTAGGACATGTTTTGGTATTAATTCTCTCTAAAAAAAAAAAAGAAATCATCTACAGTAGATACACATAAGGCAAGATACTACTACTACTTAATATGTAGTGTATATTATATTTACTATTCAATAATTTAACAAAAAAATAAAACTAAACATTATTACCCATCAATTTTGCAAAGAAACGTAAGATGTAAATATTTACTATTTTCAAATTGAAAATCTCTTATACACTCCAGGGAGATTTACTCGGTATCCATTTTTAATTTTTATTATATCAGTTTGGTAAAACAACGATAACTTTTTTCATGATATGTAATGAAATTTCAAATATTATAGATGTCGGAGCGTGTCAGAGTGTCGGGGAATGTCAGACACTACACTTCAGGTTTTTTGAAGTGTCGGTGCTACATAGCTTGAGCTGAATGGCAAGAGAATATAGATTGGTAAGCTTCATTCTATATCATGTCAAACTGTTGAGCTACAATGCTAAATTGGTCACACATAAGGGTGCAAATAGGCTGAGTCAGGCTAGACTTTGATCTAAGTAGGTCAAGCCTATATAAAATATCTTGAGCCTGACCTGACCTAACGCCTTGTGTAAGCTAAATTATAGGTGTGGCTTAGCCTATACTAAAAATCGAAAGGCCTAGACTAGATCTATTAGCCTATTTAAGCCTATCAAGATCTATTAACCTATTTAAGCCTATCAAGCTTTTAATACCTATCAAGAATTAAAAAAAAAAAAAACTAATAAAATAATATTATTTTATCAATTAAAATTATTTAATATTTATTTTATTTTATTTTAATTAAAATAAATAATACGATATAGGTCGACTTGGAGGCTATGTAAGACAAACATTGTAAAAGTAAGCCTATGGCCTATTTTCTAAACAAACTTTTTTAAAGCTTGAGTCTGTTCTATTTTACTAAATATATTATGCTAGGTCTGGCTTGACGTAGGCCATTGATAGGCCGCCTGACCCATTTACACTCCTAGTCACACTAAGCATGAGAAGACTGTTTAAGGCCAAAGAAAGACATGAGAAGATTATCGAACAAACCAATAGATTTCTTCTGACCAACAAATCACGGGTTGCACCACATAAACTATTCGACAAGATCAGCATTGAGAAAAACATACTTTAACATCTAGTTGATGAAGGAATCAGTGGCAAATAGAAATCATATACAAACAAGGCAAACAAAATCCATCTTTGCTATTGGCAAGAATATGTACCCATAATCAAGGCCAAAAATAGAGGTATATACTTTAGCCACTAAACAAGTCTTAAGGTAATCAATCTTGCCATCAAGGCCAACCTTAATGATAAAAATCCACAAACAACAAACTTCCTAGGAGAGAAAGGAATAAGCACACAAATATCGTTGCTCTGAAAGGCATTCATCTCTTCAATCGTAGCTCGTCTCTACACTGGATGAGATAATTAGTCACCTGCAGATTTAGGAATAGACAGAGAAGACAAGGAAGAATGGCCAGCATAATATGAAGAAGAAAGGAGAAGATAATTCGAGGTAACATAATGAAGATAAGGGTTAGAGTTGAGGGCATACTTTTCTGAGAGCAATGGGAAGGTTAGGATCAGGAGGCACTGCCGGAGTTCTTAAAGGAGTTGGATCTAGTGAAGGGTCCACAAGGGCCTCATCAATGACGGGAGGAGACTAAGAGGTAGAGGTAGAGGTGAAGGTGGCCGATGATGAAAGACCTTGAGAGGGCGAACACTAGTGAGGCGTTCATTAACAAAGTTGGTCAATGATGGAGGAATTTCGACCGAGAGATAAGGAAGAGGAAAAGATATAAAAGGTATTGTAAGACCTCAGAGATGGGCTCAAGAGCTGAAGAAAACCCAAAAAATGGAACAGACTCAAAAAAGATAACACTAGCTGAGAAGATATAAAGTCATAGATCGGGAACTAAAGAAATGTAGTACCTTTTTCATGTTGTTAGCCCTTTATGGTTTGCCTGCAAAATATTTTCCAATAAGATCCAATATTATTGAGAGTCATTTTCTCTTTTCTTCTTTTTCTAGCTAGTCCAAATAATTTTAACACAAATAAAACATGATAAAAGAAAAATAGACAACTTAGAAACATTCAGGCTCCATAAACCACAGCGTCTAATGGGCTTCCAAAAAATGACTTGCAACTATGATCTAACAAAAAACAAACACTCTAGAAAGTTAACACAATGAGAAGTTAGCTAGATTGATGCAAAAAAAGATCATTTTGAAAAAACGCACAGCCAAGGAAAGATAAAATTTGCTGGAAAGACGCATAGCAAGTATAAAAGGGCAGGAAAAAAGCATAATTGCAAAGTGACAGTTCCCGGGCAACAATTGTACACAAACCCAAAGACAATAAAGGATCAAAACATCAATTGGGAACCTCAAACAGAATAAATTACTTCAAAGTTGGGCTCATGAGACCCCAAAAAAGAATGGGAAAGACATCCGAAGTGGGGTACATATATTTGGCCATCAAGGGTGGAATTATAGCAACAGTATTCCACTTATAAGGTAATCAGCAACTGGTTGAATATTGTTGGCCATGACGGGTGGAATTCTTCACCACCAAAATGACAATAATAGTCTGGCCTTCAATGGTGAAGAGGCCAAAATATGACCGTCAGTAAAATTTGATGTTTCTGGTACCAAAAGCTTTGCCAGTTGTGTGGTTAAAGAATGAATAGATTGTAGAAAAGGAGTATTCTAGAAAGTCATAGACAAGACCCCAATCCCAATTTCAAGGAATAATCACTGGAAGTTGGCAGGGGAAATTGGTTCTAGCAGCAATGGCGGTAAAATAACTGAGAAGATTGACCAAGAATCACCAGAAACAGTAAAATCAAAACAATACAAATGAGTTCCATTTGCTTAAAATTCTACACGACAGAGCCATAGATAGGTCAAAAAGGATGAAATGGCTCTGATTCCATATTGAAGTTAAAGGGAAAAGTATAATAAAGAGACTCTAAAATCCAAATAATTGTGATACAAAACCTGACCTGGTACCATTATTTATTTAGGGTGATAAGCTAGGTCAAGTGCAAGAGCAGTCTACTTAGTACAAATGCAGCTCAATAACACTCACAGTGAAAGATGAAAAACTGCAAACAAGTTCTCTTAATTGTTGAACGAGTTCAAAGGGCTCTCTGGCAACAGTATGTGAAGCAAAATGTTATGGCAGTGTGTTTTATGTGTAGTTCCTTTGTGTTACGATCCTATTCTAAGGTATGGGACTTGGAGTCTCACATCAGAAACATAACGTTCTGGTGTAGGGTTTATATAGACTTTGAGTTCTCCTACCTCATGGGCTAGCTTTTTTGGATGAAGTTCTCCCAAAGTTTGTATCAATTGGTATAAGAGCCTTCCACTATGTCTCTCAGTTGCAATCGAGCAGCGCGGGTGGTGACGCTGGCATTGCAATGTTCACCGAGGGCTAGTAAAAGACTAGCGCAATGTCAGCCCGCATAAGCGCCGGGGCTGCGAAGCGTGATGGAATGTTACGATCCTACTCCAAGGTATAGGACTTGGAGTCCCACATCGAAAACATAAGGTTTTAGTGTGAGGTTTATATAGACTTTGGGCTCTCTTACCTCATTGGCTAGCTTTTGGGGTGAGACTCTCACAAGGTTCTTATCACTTTGTTACTTTGATTGGAGAAGAATGCTTGGTTTTTTAGGGGAAAAAGAATTGTTTTTAGGGTTTCTCTTTGGTTCCTTTCACATGATTTCTTTCTAGAATTTTCCATGGTTAGACAGCAAAGGGATTGAAAAGCTTTATGATAGTACTTTTCACCTTGACTTGTTCTTGGTTGATGTCCGATGAGTTATCCAAGAAGGATACCTGATCCTCCTCCATTTTATCGTCTTTTTTTCTTGCGAATAATATTCTTCTATTAAAAAATTATAAATTAAAAAAAAAAACTAGTAGCAAAGATATTTTGAGTCCATGCAATAGAAAAAAAGCACCTGAACTAGAAGTGACAAAATGAGAGCAACATAGAATCTTCTACAAACACGAAGTGTTTGATCATCTGAGTTAACTGTTCCATTGGAGATCCTAAGTTGATTTCTTTGTTTATTGTGCAACCATCTTGTATTAGCTCTTGACTTGTTTGAAGCATGTATTGGTGCGCCATGTGCCATATGCATCAAGAATGGTTCTGTCACACCTATTCGATTGCCAACTGACTGCAAACATATCAAAATGAACAATATTTACAATTATGCTAAGTTTTGATAAATATTTCAAAATTCAAATCGACAAACATAAAATTGACTCAAAAATCAATATTCCTAGAGGTGAAAAGACAATTCAAACTGTACACTTTGTGGATACAGATGAATATTACAAGAATGACACATATACAGATCTTTCTGTAGAAAACTTTCCATTTGTCTTCATATATTTTGGTTTATTTTTCCAATATAAATTATTTCTTCCCAAAAAGGTCAATGACATATCATGTATGCAACATAAGATGGGTGGTACTGTGGTAGTAAACATCAGATGAATTCCACGCAGGTTTCATTACATCTCACGCCAAAAAGAAAGGGGCAATTTTTTATCATAAACGCACCTGGTCAAGAGGAGATAATTTCACAAAACGCTCGTAGTACAATTCCCAATCTGGCTCAACATCAACATTGATTGGCGTCACCAAGTAAACTAAATGCAAGTCAGATGCAAGGACAAATCCTTCTCTTGCCCTCGAAAGATCAGCTAGCACAATCTAAGAAATCAATCACAGTATTGGTTAATGTCAATACAACCTGACTATACTACCTCAAATTATCTACCTAAATTTAAAACATTCGGAGGGCAAACAAAACCAAACAGCAGGAAAAGGCAGTACTGCAATAAACAGTTAAGATGAAAAAAGAAAAAGAACAATAACAATAACAATAGAAGTACTAAAAGTATAGAGAGAAACATTTACAAGTGATTCTTCTGGACAGAGAGAACTGCCAAAAGATGCACGTCCAAGAGGTGTGGTACTGTAGAGTTTAGTGTCTTCGTTCCATTCAAGAAATTTTCTTTGGCACAACCATCGAAGGGATTCTTGTGCAGATTTCACCACTTCTTGAAATGGTTTTGTGGAGTTCAAAAGAGTACATCTAACATACCGATGAATATCTTTAGCAGTCTGAACTATTCCTCCAGCCACCACTTCTAAGATTGCATGAGTCATTCCATTTATATCTTCAGATAAACAGGAATGTAGTGGCGGACAGCTTTCATTTAGAAGTCCCATAACTTTTTTCATTTCCTCTGGTTTGCAGATAAGTACCTGTGTGAGTCAAAAGAAAGCACTTGATCAGACTTAATTTAAACAAAACATTGTAGTCAATGTCACGTAGATATGCCCAAATAAATTATGATATCAATGTAAAAAAGAAAAAGAGAGAGAAAATAAAATCCTCTTGATTAAGGGATTTGATTAATCCTGAAATCATGGGATTAGTATATGTAAACTTCTTCTCTTTTCTATTTTTGGTAGTTTTCTGTCTATAGGCTAAAGTTTAGGAGTAGTTATTCATTTTTTCCTCTCGACAGCCAACCAGTCTACTGTATATGTTGCAATCTTTTATTCTAAATGAAAAAACAGAGTAATGTCCAATACCTCTATTTACATGATATTAGAGCTTCAGTTATTCCTATAACTACGGGTCAAGCCTAGAACTCTCCCATGGCTGGAACAAACCAAATTCCCCAGACACCCAAGTCTGATGATGCCTCAGCATACAGAATCCCAACAAACCACCTCAGTGCACCATAATCCAACACCTAGTTTCTCTAACAATGATATCAGCATTCCTTCCAAATAACCCAGATTGTTTAAATTTCCAAGAGCGGTACCAGCCAGTCCTTGTCATGTAAGGGACAGAGAAGATGTGTTATCTCACTGGAGACATCACTGCACCAACGTCATCTGACTTAAAAGACATGAGAAATAGAGACTCTATTGTGATAGTGTCATGAACCAACTATCTTAAAAACTTAAAGTTGTTAGGTCTCTAACACACCCCCTCATGCAAGAGCCTTTTGGACTTGAAGTATGGGCAATGCACAAACCCACCTACCTTATGCTAAAATTTACATTTTTATTAAAGGAATGAGGAAAACAAGGATCAAACTCTAGACCACTTGATCATTAGAGGCTCTAGTACCATGTCACAAACCAACTATCCCAACCGTTTAAGTTGTTACGTGAAAACACATGACTGGTTTTATATTACATCTATAACAGATAGCATGGTTGATCAACTCTACGGAGCCTAAAATTGGTTGAATCTACCTATTCTACAACACACCTTATGAAATCTGGAAAACAGTCCAAGAATTGGGATCCAGTCTGCTCTTCTGACATACTCAGCAAGGATACATGTATGTTACTAAATACTACAATGCACTGGTTGAGTTGTGGCAAGAAATGGATCCTACACCATAAAGTGGAAGTGTATTGAAGACATTAGCTATACTACAACCTCCCCCACGAAAAGGAGAGAGTTTTTTATTTCCCTCAAGGACTTAACAAAGAACTTGATGAAGTGAGGGGTCGTATCCTTGGAACTAAGCCGTAGTTGAAGGAAAGTGATTCAGATGAGTAGGTTACTACAAGACCTATTTATTCAAGTCCTATGAAAATGAACACCGATAGCAAAGCATAGTTCATAATCCTATTTGTAAAAAATCAATTCAACCCAAAAGCTTAAGTTGTTAGGTGAGGGCCTCTTTAATGGTTTATATCATACTCTAACATGCCCCCCCACAAGAGAGCCCATTGGGCTTGAAAGGTGGATGATGCATCAGGCTCAGCCTACCTGTGCTAAGAAATTCCACATAAAAAATAGAAGACGGCGATGATCGAACCCGGGACACTCTGATACCATGTAAAGAACCAATTCAACCCAAAAGCTTAAGCTGTTAGGTGAGGGCCTCTTTAATGGTTTATATTATACTCTAACACTATTCAATACGATATACGATGAAGCATGTGAGGATAGACACAGATTTCATCAAGTTAGAAACTGAAAATAAAAACTTCACCCTACATAATGTGTCAACCAAGTCACAAGAAGCTGATATGTTAACGAAAAAGCCTCACTGAAGTCAAAATTTGATTTGAATATTAATGAACTGGGAATGATTGACATCTATTCACCAACTTTAGGGGGAGTGTTGAAATCTAAAATTAAAATCCAATGATTAAGGGATTTAATTAATCCCTAAATCATGGGAATATAATCTGTCAATTTATTCAATTTTCCATTTTTGGTAATTTTTTGTCTATAGGCTAAAGTTTAGGTGTTGTTAAGTATTTTTTCCTCTTGACAGCTAGCTAGTCTACTATATATATTGTAATCTTTTATTCTGAATGGAAACCACATAGAGAGCAATGTTCAATACCTCTTTACAATATGAAGCACAACTGGGGGGAAATTAGAAACCAAAAAGGATAATTGAAAAAAAAAAAATTGAAGAGTAGTACATATGCATAGAAACAGCTCACAATCAATCAGCATATCAGCCTGGAAAAACCACATAGGCAGTTCCATATAATAGTCGAGAGAATAACCAAAAAAGTCATACACTTTCTCCTTTTGTATCAATTCCAGTTCTACCAGCACGACCAGCCATCTGCTTGTACCTTGTCCCATCTATAAAATCACGACCAATTCTAGGTTGCCGGAAAATCACCCTCCTAGCTGGCAGATTAACCCCAGCAGCTAATGTCGATGTGGCAGTTAAGACACGTAAAAGGCCTTTTCGATAACAAGTTTCAACAATCTCCCGTTCCTCAACCTATGAGAAAGCCAAAAAATGGCTTAGACCTTGAAGGTAGGTAAAATAAACACAGCATTTCCATTTTCTATATAAACTGGAGATCAAATATGAACTTCTCCAAAAAAAAAGGGTCAGAACAGGAAACCATAACCTCAGAAAGAAAGAATGGAATTACCGTAAGGCCAGCATGGTGAAATGCAACTCCAGAAGGAAGAGTTTCCTCCAATATGGGGTCCAAGCCAGCAGGGCACTTCCTCAAGGAGTCAATGGCGGAAGTAATATCAGCAAACTCGCAATCATTCTCATTAACATCAACAGTAAAACTTTTAAGGAACTTTGCAACATGCCTTGCAGTAGATTCACAACCTTTTCGGCTAGAACAAAATATTAACACTGATTGTCCCTCTTGAACAACCTGAAAAGAATATCAGATGTTCATAATTATTCAGCTTGCACAATTACAACATGTAGAAGTTGCAGCTAAGACTCTAAAGCACCTACCTCATTACATAGTTCAACAACATGATCGGGATCTTTACCGCCAAGGTCAGCTGCTCTTGAGATTGTTCTAGAAAGTTCCATACTCTTGTTATAAATGGAATTACCAACTTTTATATATTCTTCCAAAGGAACTGGACGAAACTCTGTTTGGTATAGTGCTGCCTAGATGCGAATTTGGGATAAATAGATTTATAAGATAATCATCAGAAAAAGAAACATTTATACAAATGTAACAACGTCAAATATGATAGCAATAAATTGCTTTATGTGTCTTGTTGAAATTATAATTCAGGTAGAAAAGGAAAGAAAGACATAATAAATACTAAAAAATTTGAAATTGATATTGATTTGATACAAAGGATGTATTATGATGTAATACAAACTACAAAGTTATAATCCCTATTTATACTAATATTAGACTCCAAATCCTAATTAAATAGCAAACAACTCCTGAAATATATAGATATATGGAAACCAATCCTAAAAGATAATAAAGATACACTAAAGTATTCTAAGATACAATCAAGATATCATGAGATATTTTTGTGGATATATACATATATAGATATATGCATCCCTGAGTTGACTTTGCAACCATGTTTTGTAGAGTCTAAATAAATTATTTGGTTAATTTTATATTTGTAAGGGTTCATTTGTAACAAGCTTAAAACTTCGTAAACTTTGACTTGAGGGGAAGTGTTAGAAGTAATCAAAATAGGTTAATAAGAAGTCTCACATCATTCAATTAGTCTTATGTAATTCTTATAACCCGTGTATATAATAGAACCTATGTTGTCCTATTGAAACACACGAATTTAAGCATTTGCCTCTCTTTTCCATTTTATTCAACAATCTTAAATAAATCCCTAGAGTTTCTTAAATTGGTTTTATACTAAAAATTATAAACAACAAAATGGATGGCTCAATCAAGATTAGTAAAAGTTGATTTTCCTCAATTTCAAGCGTGTTTAGATCAGCTTATTTCGGGTTGTCATAAATCAAATATCGCAAAAGATTAAAATGATAGGTAAAGACACGTGAATAAATTTATATTACATCTCTAACACACCCCATCACACAAGAACTTTTAGGACTTGAAGGGTGGACAATGCATAAGCCCACATCCCTTGTATTCACCATTTTTACGAGAATAAGACAGCAATTTTTGGACTCTAGAGTTTAGACCACTTCATAATGGCAAAGCGGGTAACCCGACCCGCCCCGCCTTCGACCTCCTCAAAATAACCCAACCCACCCCGCCCCGTTTTTTAAAGTGGATTGAAAATTTCAACCCATCCCGACCCGCTTCCAACCTACCCAGCTCCGCGACCCATCAATATACTAAAAAATTATATACTACCCATAAATGTAAAAGGTATCAAATGAAGATAAAAAGAGGTGTAAAAAAAGTCATTAATGAATGTTTTATGTTTTTTTTAAAAATAAAAAACCCAACTTGACGCCCCGTGGCGAGTTTAACTCGTTTTGACCCGCCCTTAAGCAAGGTGGATTCAAACCGGTTGACGGGTTGAAAATCCCAACCCGCCATTTGTGATAGGTTAAACAGGTCAACCTGACGGGTTAGACCCATTTTGCCACCTCTAGTCATAAAGGCTCTGATTTCATGTCGTAAACAAATTACCCAAAAAGCTTAAATTGTTAGATGAAGACACATGAATGAATTATTACATATCTAACAATGGTTTAAAAAAAAAAGTTTTCCCACACATGCACCAATTTAAGGTTTATTATCAAGAATAGTACAGTACATTCAAAGTTTTTTCTTATGGATGAAAATTCAAATTTAGAGCACCAAACATGTATTATGTTGCTAACAACATAACAAACATTAGGCGGATTTAGGTCTTTCGAAGGCTAAATACCACTGTTTTTATAATAACCCAAGTCAGCAAAAATCAGAAACTAGGAATTTTCCATGAATTACCAGATAATAATTAGATCAGAAATCTAATTATCACAAATTTAGTCACTTTCAGATAAAAGTGCAAGTACAGAGAGTTTTAGGGTAAAATAAAGAATTTAACCGAAACTTGTGAATAAATTAGTAAATGGCTAATTTGTAAGAATTATGAGAGAAAGCACATATTTAGAAATGCTAAGTGTTGGCTAGAAAGGGAAGTGTGAAAGAAAACTGAAAATCAAGACAGCCTACATCTCGCTGAAGCAAGCAGTCTAGCAAGCAGAGCACTTGCTCACAGACTATAGCTCGCTGAGGCGAGCAATCAAGCAAGCAGGTTCGGGAAATGTTAAAATTTAACATAAGAGACTCTCTCTCCTCACACACACTCAACCATCTCCCTCTTACCCGAAAAATAGCCATTGAAGAAGAGAGAAAAAGGTCCAAAACCTACATTTTGCTTGAGTTGATGAAATCCAAAGATTTAAAGACCAAAGATGTTTAGAATCCACCCAAGAACATAACCCGACCCTCATTTTCAGACTTGGTGGTTGGTAAAGAGAGATTTTCACTTCTCAAAGTCTTGAAGATTTGTGGTTTTTGAGATTTTGAGTGTTTGAGCTCATTGAACCTTGGGATTTTCTTCTCCTAGCATTCTATGGTGATTCATGGTAAGAAACCACTACTTAGCTCATGTTTTAATGGATTTTCATCAATGTTAGGTTTTTGGTGAATAGTGCCACGAAATTGGTTGATTTTGGATGGGTAATGATGGTTGTTTGTGTGTTGTTGTTGTAGAGTTGATCCTAGTGCTATAGATGTTGAGGAACAACCATTGGAATCAACTTTTGTGCAAGACTTGGTTCCTTGAAAATTTCCCCAAAGAGGGTAAATGATGAACTTTTGGCTTATGAGAAACTTCTAGCCAATAGCTTAGCATGTTATGTGTTGTATGATATGTTGATCACAATTTCACTTTGTACCATAGGTTGCTTTTGTGTTGTTGATTGTGATTGTGGCTCTTGAAGTAGAAAAGAGCAAGATTTGAAAGTCCACTAAAGGTGAACTCCTGAATCTTGAGATTAATCCCCTTGTGTATTCCACCATGCTCCATTAGAGTAATGGTTGCAATTTTGCATTGTGCATGGTAGTAGCATGATATGGTGTGATGCATTGTTAGTATGAAAGTATGAATATGTTGAATGACAAAATATATGAGATTATGTATGATATGTAACCTGGCCAGTGGATGTATGTATGAATGTGATTACTTTCCTTGGACGTAATAGAAGTCCTTGGGGCTTGATGCCCAAGAAACGTAACAGAAGTTTCTTGAAAGTAATACATGTATGAACTTTCCTTGGACGTAGCAGAAGTCCTTGGGATTTAATTCCTATAAAACGTAGCAGAAGTCTCATGAAAGGACAATACCAGAGACGTAGCAGAAGTCTGTTGATATTATTATGTGTAGGGACTTCCCTTGGACGTAGCAGAAGTCCTTAGGGTACAAATACCTAAGAGACATAGCAAAGTTCTCTTGGAAGTTCCGTTAGTAAATAGATGCGTATTTATGCTATGTTCAGTTATTATGTATGCACTGTCAGTGAAATGTAGGGTGGAGTAATCCTCCACGGACCCTTAGTTTACTGTGATTTATATATCACCTCGTGTTGTGGGGAATAAATTTCAGGTACCTCTACAAATGGTGAGGGAACATCACTTGGCAAGAGGCCACAGATAGCATGACATGTGGATATTTGTCTATGTTTTGATATGTAGTTGACATGTAGACAGGATTATTTTGAGTATTCACATGAGACTATGTACATTTTGATGTCTAGATAATGGCTATGTGTATTTTACATAATTCAGATGTTGTGTAATTGTGAAGAGAACAATGAACATGAGTTATGTAATTTGGACATTCCAATATGATCATGTTTATTTTGATAGCCTTGATGTACATTTGATAGAGAATGATGTATAGGGCTAATGAACATTTGATGTCCAATGATGTATGTATGTAATTTAAGACTTCATGATGATTATGCCATAAGAACATATTTATTTAAATGAACTATTATGTTATAGAAATGTGATATTCACAAATATGAATGTCATGAAATGTTGATGGAAGCCTATGCTAATAGATGGCTAGGAGTTTTGATAAGAATTTGAATTATGTATGTTGAGATGTAAAGAAATAGCTTGAGATGCAAGCAACATAATAATAATAGTCGCTTGGAGCCTAAGAAATGTATATGCCATGTAATATTTCAAAGAGATGAGATGCATGTATGTTTGTTGGGGATATGGTTGCTATTGTGGTCAATTTGGTACCCTAAAAGATGAAGAAAATGGGGATTTAAGGTCCCAAGTTAGAGACATAAAACAAAGTGAACTATTTTGCAAATTAGGGTTTGCTCGCTCAACCGAGCAGTCCAGCAAGCTAACCCTAAGGTCGGCAGTAGCTTCTAGTTGAGAATTTAATTGCTCGCTGCCCTCCTTGCTTAAGCGAGCAGCTCTGCGAGGAAGGGTGCTACTCGCTGACTATAGCTCGCTCAAGCGAGCAGCTTAGCGAGCAGCGTCAGACAGAAATAATGAACTCTTAACACCTTGTATGCTTATAGAGGCTACTTGGTGGTTGATATTAAGCAAATGTAATATGTTTCCGCATTATGTATGGGTTGCAATTACGTATTGGAATTATGTTTATACAAAACTAATGTTTATGCAAAAGAAAGTAAAAAGAAAAATTTATCTGTAATTTTAATTCAATACTGATATTGTAACTGTTCTTAATATCATATGCAATATTAACAAGCCGGTTCTAGAACTGGGCGTTACAGTTTTCATAGAAGTTATGCAGAAAAGGTTTCAATAGATTGTAGCAATTATACTACCAAAAATCATAACAAAACAGGACAGTAGGCCAAGAGAAAGAGGAAGCACAAAGACTGCTGTGTGTACAGGAATAAGTGATGCATGTAACTACGCTTACTTGAAGCCAGTCAGCAACAGCTGCAACATTAGGCATTGTCGCACTCATTCCAACAATTTGCAGACCTTGAGCAGGATCAGCCTTATCGCTGCTTCCACCTGAACTTTCTCCATCACTTGATTTTGAAATGCCTTCTCCTGCTGCATAACGAAGCTTTGTCAACATAAGTTCTAGAAGATAACCTCTACTTGGATCACCAACCTGTTAATAGACGCAGACAGGGAAAAATCATAAGAACCATCTACGTATACCATTTGTTGTTCATCTTTCGTAATGATCCAATACAAAAGTGTGGAGAAAAGCAGCATGCAACAAAAGCATGACAAATAACTACAAAAAGTAATGACTGGTGATACCATATGCAGTTCATCTATCACAATAATTCCCATTTCTGATAGACGGCTCTCTTCCAATAATCTATTAATTAACGAGTTTGCCTTCTCTATTGTGCAGACAGCTACAGAAGTATCTTTAGGAAGTGTTCCACCACCTTGGTTTCCATAATAACTACGAACATGTTTACCGAGTGGCTCAAGAAGACGTTCGAGATGTTCCGCCTACAAGAATTAAAATGAAATTATAAAAATGAAGTAAATTGAAAATTTTGAAATATTTTAACACCGAATCCCTTAAACAACATCCACAACCTGAAATGTAATTTTTAAATTTTAACAGACAAGAGAACAAAAAAGAGCACCTTTTCTGCACAAATTGATACATATGGTAGAACAAGTAGTGCCATCTTTCCGGTTGTTATCACCCTCCGCAGCATTAAAATCTCAGCGACCAAACTCTTACCAGCACTGTGGCAACAAGAAAAACATTCATAACAGCCTTTCTTGAATGAAAGGCAAAGAGAGGTAGCTAGAGAAGGACAGAGAAAAAAGAAGAGGAAGGTGAAACAAAATGACAAAGAAAAACATAAAAAAGGCAGGAAAATCATGTCAAGTAGTGTAAAACACAATGGAAGACATGCAGCATAAGACCATAGAAACAAAATAAGGACTTAAGCAATAAAAGAGACAAGAATATAAAATCATATAAAAATTCAATTAGGTTCAATACAAGAAAAGGAATATGAAAAGAAGCAATACATTTATTGATTAAATGCATATTATACTGCTTTTTATTGAACTGAAAACAGATTTATAATTTATAGAGTACAGTACAAACTCAAAAAGGAAATTCCTGGAGAATAGTCCCATTATTTATGGGTCAAATATTCTACTATCAAAAAAACAGATCTGACATGTAAGAAAGTAATAGCAGAATCTGATATCTAAAGAAACTACAAATGTGCGCTATATTTACAATTCTAACACTCCCCTCCAAACTGGTTATTGGATATCATCCATTCACAGCCATAGTTATCAAATGCGGATTACGGCATGTCGCGGCCAACCCCGAAAAATGCTATAGCGTCATAGCGGATTGCGGTTGCGAAAATAGCGGAATAGATATATGAAAGAAATAATGACAAAAAGAAATATTTTTTAAAAGCAAGAGATGCGGATAGACTAAAAAACTCTTAAATTTCTTCTGTTACACATTTAAATTTAGGACAAAATTGACATTTTGCCTTATGATAGCAATATGGCCGCAAATGCAATCTTAATGGCCGCTATTGCGTCCTGGTGTGGCGCGGCGCGGTTTCTTGCGGCGAGGCACCGCAACGCTCATACGGCGCGGCTCGCGGCGCAATTAACTACTATGTTCACAGCTTGCTCACAACAGTTTTCAACGAAACACCTTTTACCCCCTTTGTTAGTACATCTTCAAGCTGGTCTTCTGTAGGCACAAATAGATTGCAAATTATTCCATTTTCCAACTTCTCCTTTATGAAGTGTCTATCTCCACATGCTTAGTTTTGACATGTTTCATTTGATATTGTGCAATGTCTATAGCAGACTTCTTGTCACAATACAATTCCATACGTCCACTCTACTTAACCCTCAAATCGTCTAGGATTATCTTAATCCATAGTAACTCACAAATTCTTAAGGCCATTGCTCTAAAGTTTGCCTCTACACTAGATCATGGCACAAAAATTTTGTTTCTTGTTCCTGCATGTGACTAAATTTCCTCCAAGGAAGGTGCAATACCTGAATGTGACCTCATATTGTCGATTGATACCGTGTAGCCAGTGTCTTTGAGAGGTCCTCGAATAAGTTACATATGTAACAAACTCAGTGAATAGGACCTATATGCACCATCTTGAGGGGAGTATCGGTAATTGTAGGTAACTATGTAATTAGCATCTTGTTAATTGATCTCGTGTAGTCAGCGTCTTTGAGAGATCCTCGAATAAGTTACATATGTAACTGATACAGACCTCTCAATAATAAACTCAAATCTCACAATTAATTCTGGAAAAGAAGTTCAAACTGATATATTGATAATTCTGTATATGTATTACAATTCGTAATTGAGTCACTCTTTGAATCGAGTTACAGGATTCCACTCTATATATCTCTAACAGCAAATTACAATTAAGATAAAGGATGAAAGATCAAAGATAAAAGATAACAGAAAGAAAAGATAATGAGGAGTATTCGAGAGACTCCACGCTCTCCTGGTTCCAGTCCTGCAATTGCTACTCGGTACCCTTTGCACAGCACCATGCTTCCCTTCTTAACCAATTGGTGCCAGCTCTACATTCTGTTGGAGGGCAGGATGGAGATTTACTGCTGAGTCAGCAGAGGCAGCAGCATTAGAGGCCACAGCAGGGGCCCAAACTCTTTTATTTCTATCTCTTTGGTATACTTTAGTGGGCTGGGCTGTATCAATACTCTCTCCCATTTTAAGAACCTTGTCCCCAAGGTTGAAATTGGGGAATTGACTATTGATGATTGAAAAATCCTCCCATGTATTTTCAAACTCAAGGAGGAGAACCCACTTGATCAAAACCTCCAGAATTCCTCTGTTGGAGCGTCTCCACTGCACTAAGGTTTCCGGTTCCACCTTGAGCTCCCATTCTTCTGTTAGGACAGAAGGCAGGGGCTGGGAATTAGGCCTAAGACAACTTGCTGGCTTAAGGAGTGACACATGGAACACGGGGTGGACCTTGCAACCATCTGGTAGTTGCAGCTTGTAGGCTGATTCACCAATACGGGCCAAGATTGGATAAGGTCCATAATACCTTGGACTTAACTTTTCATTAATTTTTCTGGCAATAGTCTTGAGTCTGTAAGGTTGTAACTTCAAGTAAACGAGGTCCCCAACAGACAGTTGCAAGTCCCTCCTATGTTGATCAGCTTGCACCTTCATGCGATTCTGAGCTTTAAAAAGCTGTTGTTGTAAATCATGTAAAATAACATTGCGCTCACGAAGGAGCTGACAAACAGCATCAACAGTGGAGCCATTCTGAACATCCATTAAAACATGTGGAGGATCACTGCCATATAAAGCCTTGAATGGGGTCATGTCAGTTGATTCCTTGTATGTGGTGTTGTACCAAAATTCTGCCCAATGGACCCATTTAGGTCAATTTTTGGGTTTAGGACTACAAAAACACCTCAAGTATGTCTCCAAACAGCGATTAACTACTTCCGTCTGACCATTAGTTTGTGGGTGATAGGCTGTAGTATAATGTAACTTAGTTCCAGCACTCTTGAATAATTCTGACCAAAACGAGCTCAAAAACACCCTATCTCTATCCAAGACAATGGTGAGAGGGAAACCATGAAGTCGGACGATTTCCCTAACAAACAAATCAGCAACATCCTTAGCCGTATAAGGGTGGCTTAAGGGAAGGAAATGAGCATATTTTGTGAGACGGTCCACCACTACAAAAATTGTATCGACCCCATAAGCCCGTGGCAGTCCTCCCACAAAATCAATGGAGATATCAGCCCAAACTTTGGTGGGTATTGGGAGGGGCTGTAACAAACCAGCAGGGGAAAGATTTTGAATCTTATTTTGTTGGCAGACCTCACAAGAAGCCACATATTTCTGAATGGTGCCCTTCATACCCTCCCAATAGATTAATCCAGCCATCCTCTTATAGGTACGAAAATAACCAGAATGACCCCCAATGGAAGAGTCATGAAACTCTTTAGTAATAGAGGTATAAATCTGGATTCCCTTGATAAGACTAGCCGATCTTTAAAAAACAGTCTTCCTTCCTTCAATTCAAATCCCTCATGCTGTCTCGGATCAATAATGAGATCCTGCATGATTTTCCGGAGCCTTGGATCATGCTGAACTTCGATTTCCCACTGGGTCAGATCCGGTAACTGAACTTGAGACACCACTGCCATTTGCATTTGCCTAGAAAGAGCATCGGCAACCTGATTTTGTCTCCCCGGGGTATACTGGATTTCAAAATCATATCCCAATAGCTTGGATGTCCACTTTTGTTGGTCCTCTCCCAAGATTCGTTGCTCAGAAAGGAATCTCAAGCTCTTTTGGTCAGTTTTTACTATGAAGTGCCTACCCATCAAATAGTGTCTGCACTTTCGCACTGCAAACACAATAGACATCAACTCTCTTTCGTATACTGATTTATTTTGAGCCCTTTGAGAGAAACCTTGGCTGATGTAAGCCAAAGGCCTATCTCCTTGTGTCAGGACAGCTCCTATACCCCTCCCAGAAGCATCAGTAACCATTGTAAAAACCTTAGAGAAATCTGGTAGTGCAAGAACTGGTACTGTACTCATCAATTCTTTCAATTGTGTAAAAGACTGTTCAGCAAAAGGATCCCATTTAAAGCCATTCTTCTTGAGTAAATCAGTCAAAGGCTTGGCAATTTTTCCATAGTCCTTGACAAATTTCCTGTAATAGCCAGTGAGCCCCAAGAAACCCCTCAATGCCTTAACAGTCTTTGGGGTTGGCCAATCAACCATGGCACTAATTTTATTTGGATCTGCCCGAACCCCTTCAGCTGATATAATATGTCCCAAATATTCCACATGACCCTGACCGAAACTACACTTTTTCTTATTGGCCAGCAGCACATGTTTACGAAGTGCTTGAAAAATCTGTTCCAGATGAACTAAATGCTCCTCACGGCTTTTGCTATATATAAGAATATCATCAAAAAATACTAAAGCAAACTTCCTGAGAAATGGCCTTAACACATCATTCATAAGAGCTTGGAAAGTAGAGGGTGCATTGGTGAGGCCAAAGGGCATCACCAAATATTCATAATGACCCTCATGCGTCCTAAAAGCAGTTTTGGGAATGTCCTCTTCCCTCATCCTGATCTGGTTGAACCCAGATTTCAGGTCAAGTTTGGTATACACCATTGACCCTCCTAACTCGTCTAGCAACTCATCTACCACTGGGATAGGAAACTTGTCTGGGACAATCAACTTGTTAAGGGCCCTATAATCGACACATACTCGCCAACTACCATCTTTTTTCTTCACTAGAATTACAGGACTCGAGTAGGGGCTGACACTGTGTCTAATCATCCCATTATCAAGTAATTCAGCAACTAATCTTTCTATTTCAGACTTTTGGTAGTGAGGATACCTGTAGGGCCGAATGTTGGGTACCTGACTCTCAGGCTTGAGCAAGATTGCATGGTCCCGTGTACGGCTAGGAGGAAGGCCTCTGGGTTCTTGAAACAAATCTTCATATTCCAGAAGCAGCAGTTCAAGTTCCCTCCACGGAGCGGACCCATCATCCTGTCTCTGGTGTGATGCTCCAGAATCCAGCAAAAACCCTTGACCCTCGTTCCTTAAAGCCTTAACAATAGATTTCAAGGAACAGATGGTTCGGCATAGTGAAGGGTCACCGCTTATTAACACTTCTTTATCTCCCTCTCTGTACTTCAGGTTCAACTCCTTAAAATTAGCCTTGATCTCTCCTAATCCAGTCAACCAATCCAACCCAAGCACTATGTCAACTCCCCCCAACTCAAACAGGTACAAATCTTGTGTAATCGAAGCCCCTTGTACGTTGACCGTTATTCCTAAGCACACCCCCTTGCAACTGACTTTGTGTCCATCACCGACCTCCACTTGATAAGTGGGAGTCTCCGTCACCTCCAACCCAAGCGTTTGCACCAGCTCCCTACGAATAAAATTTCTTGAAGCCCCACTGTCCACTAGGACGACCACCTTCCTTCCCAGAACGTCGCCCCACACCATCAAAGACTGATTCGACGAAAGACCCATAAAGCTTTGCACCGACAGCTGCAACGCGGCCTCTTCGTTCTTCTCGACAGCCTCGTGCGTCAAATCAGGAGGATCGTCTTGTGCTTCAACTCCTTCCCCGTCTTCATCATCGAGTATCATCAAATGAAGTTGCCCCACTGTACACTTATGCTCCATATTTCACTTCTCGCCGCACTTGAAGCACAGACCCTTCCTTTGCCTCTCTCGCCACTCAGCCTGGGACAACCTCCTGCTTGTACTTCCTTGTCCCTCTTGCATGCGACCCCCAACTTCATAAGAATTAGGGATTGCAGCTCCCTTTGTCACGTTTGTGGTTCTAGAATTTTCGCCGTTGAAATTCCTTGAAACAGGTGTCCCCATGCCCGATACGGGTTGGGTTCCAACCCTTAAGTCAGTTGGGCCCAGGCCCACTCGCGAAGAGGAATGGTGTTTGGTGGTTCCAGCCAAGTGGGCTCGGCTAGCTGGCCCAAATCCTTCCTCACACCAAGCCTGGTTCCTTTTTTCTATCTTCACCGAGAGCTTCATCATCTCCGTCAGTCCAATCCTGGGGTACATCAGCAACTCTTCACGGATGCTGGATTTAACTCCGTTCAACCAAGCGCCTTTGAGGAGTTCGTCATCCCTAAACCTCAACGCGCCTATTACCTTCTCAAACTCCGTCCTGAACTCCGCCACGGTTCCATTTTGTCTAAGGGTATAAAGAGCACGGTAAGAATTATCGATGACCTCAGGTTGAAAACGGCCAAGGAGCTCCCGACAAAATTGTGCCCAGGTCACATCCATTGCATTTAATTCCCACCACTGGTACCAGTGTAACGCCTCTCCGTCAAGAACCACCATCACGGCTGCGATCTTTTCTGCTTCTCCTACCTCATTCAAGGAAAAATACCTCTCGACCTTGCTTAACCAACCGTAAGCATCTTCACCGGAGAACGTGGGAATTTCAAGACGCCGATGGCTGTGATTAAAAGGGGTCCTCCTGCGTTCGAACCGATCACCGTCCTCGTTGCCTTCGTATTCATGATTGCTATGCCTTGACCTTCTACTCCCTGACCTGCTACGGTCTTCTCTAGCGCGCATCGTCTGGGTTATTATATCCAAACGACGCAACACTTCAGTCAAGCTCAGCTCGGTAGCTTCCAACCGACGAGCTACCGTTTCTTGCCTTTCATCGTTCCGGCGTTGTCCTTCCTCCAAGGACGCTAAACGTTGATCCATGTGACGCGTCAATACCATCCACAGAGCTCCTAGATCGGAGCTCTGATACCACTTGATACAGACCTCTCAATAATAAACTCAAATCTCACAATTAATTCTGGAAAAGAAGTTCAAACCGATATATTGATAATTCTGTATATGTATTACAATTCGTAATTGAGTCACTCTTTAAATCGAGTTACAGGATTCCACTCTATATATCTCTAACAGCAAATTACAATTAAGATAAAGGATGAAAGATCAAAGATAAAAGATAACAGAAAGAAAAGATAATGAGGAGTATTCGAGAGACTCCACGCTCTCCTGGTTCCAGTCCTGCAATTGCTACTCGGTACCCTTTGCACAGCACCATGCTTCCCTTCTTAACCAATTGGTGCCAGCTCTACATTCTGTTGGAGGGCAGGATGGAGATTTACTGCTGAGTCAGCAGAGGCAGCAGCATTAGAGGCCACAGCAGGGGCCTAAACTCTTCTATTTCTATCTCTTTGGTATACTTTAGTGGGCTGGGCTGTATCAGTAACAAACTTAGTGAATATAACCTATACGCTCTACCTTGAGGGGGAGTGTCGGTAATTGTGGGTAACTATGTAATTAGCATCTTGCTAATTATGTATTGTAAATAGGGTAGTCAGAATTATGTAATTAAGGTAATTAGGAGAGCAGTGATATCTGTATTTGAATTTATTATTTATGGCTATAAAATCCTGACCCTGTTCTGTAATCGAGACACACAAATTTCACCAAATGTCTCTAGTTTCCTCTTTAATTTAAGGGTGGCAATGCAGGCCACGGTTTATAGCATTGCTGAGGATTTTGGGCTCTGGTGCCAGATTAAAGTTTCTGAGAATTACTCATCTATTGCATCAAGAGAAGATTTACAATTTATGAGTGTAGTAGAAACTAAAAAAGGAAATTCCTAGAGAATAGTGATTTGGTCTAATCCCACGATTCATGAGGAGAATATCCTAACCTCATAAAATACAAATTTAATATATTAACAGAATCTACTATCTATGGAAACTACAACTATACACGAAATTTACAATTCTAACATACACCACTACATTAGTAATAATTACTAAAATTGGGACTCAAAAAATCTCTTTAAATGAATCCTTATTGTGGAAAATTAAATTTATTATGCCACCATATGAGAGAAGACAATTTTAAATGAAACCCCATCCCCCCCCCCCAAAAAAAAAACTTAGTTCACTAACGCTTGTATAAATGAAAAGGATAGAAATAAGACAAAGTTTACACTAATTGATAGTTACATGAGAGAATACCTTGTAGAAGCACAATATACAAGATTTCTTCTTTGTAGGACACCATTTACCCGAAGGCAGTCAACCTAAAAAATGAAAGAAAAAAAACCCTGATTAAACTTACATATGCCAGAAACTAAAGGATTTTAAAATAAACCAGCTTAAATATCCTTCTCAGTGCTCAATAATGTTACTCCATAGCTAAGGAGCAATGAGAAGAATTCGTGGCAAAAAATGGAACTATAATCAAAGTGACGCCCAAATCAACCACAAAGCCAGAACTTTTGGAAAAAGAAAATAAAATAAATTAGTAGAAAAAAGTGGCAGCCAGAATTAACAACAGGAATTAAATCAATTATCTAGACATAACATATTGTGTAGTCAGAGCGCGAGCCATGGAGCAGTGGTAAGGTTGTTTCTTGTGACCGAAAGGTCACCAGTTCAAATCTAGGAAACAACCTCTTTGCAAAAATACAAGGTTAAGAATGCGTACAATCGACTCTCACCCCTATCGTCATAAGTTGAGGAGCCTTTTGTACCAGGATTTTCCCTATTTAACATCTTGTGTCGTAAATCATTATAATGACATAAGAAGCATCTCGAATAAAATGTATCTGTACCTGCCAATTGTAAAGCTTTGAGATTCCTTTATTTCTATAAATGCTGCATATTTCAGGTGGAAGCCAACTGTTTAGATCTAAATGATCATTAAGTGACACACTACTTGAAGGAGTACTAGCTTCATCAGATCCATGTGTCCTAATTGCTGTCCTAAACTCATTGAGGGGTGAATTAGATGTCATACTAACATTATCTTGACTCACTCTTTTGCCTAATACATCGACTAAAATTTTCTCTTGCCCTTCATTCATCTTTTCATATGTATGACCTGTTATAGAACCAGATTCATACGGTTTGCCAGCCCCACAAGTAACATTGATTGGATCATCAACACAACAATTTTGCGGGGTACTTTCATCCAAATTATTGTCCTCAAACGAAAAATCAAAATGCTTAACAGGAAGGCTAGACACTTCATTCATAGAATCTTTTGCGTGCATCCCAACCAACCCTAAAGGAGTACTCGTTTCCCTATTCCAGATTCTGCTTTTACTTTGATCCAATATTTTCCTTGGCTTGCCATCATAATTTTGTAGATTACATGAGTTCTTCATCTCAAGTTGGTCTTCCACCATATTACTTTCTTCTATAACGTTAGAAGAATCGTTAGCCATGGGAACACACAAACCATCAGCAAGTTGAATTGCTTCATTCCAAAAAGCTTCTCCAGGTGAAAACATCGAGCTTCCACGCGTTGACCTTGGAGTCTCCTTAACACAAGCTTTAACAATCAAAGATCCCGGTGTATAGCATTCAGCCATATTGATAGGTGATTTAGGAGTATAACTACATTTTCTAAAGCTTGTGTCAAGGGTAAAAGTCTCAACACCTCCAGAAACCTGTCACTCAGAAAGCAAAGCAGCAAAATATCAAAATATATATCATAAATTGAAGTAAGAATCTGGTTAGAAAATCCAAACTAGTATGATTTGAGTTTAACCTTCATATTACTGCCAGGAACATTTGCCGTAGTTTTACCAACAGCACCAGACTTGATGTCTTCAGAGATATTGTCACTGGAAATGTTTTCACCGCCAAAATTTGGCTCACTAGCGGTGTCATTAAGCTTCTGCGGTAAAATACCATTTTTCTCTACCAATGTGAGGGAGCCATGTCTATTGTGTCCATCCATTTTCATCTCTGATGGTGTATCAATGTTTGGGCGCAATTCGCTGCATGTAGCATATTTTTAAAAGTCAAATAAAAAATATAGATGAGTAAAAGAAGAGAAAAGAGAAATAAACTACCAATAGCAACCCTAATTGCACATCTCCACATGAAACAGATGCCCCTGCAAATAATGATACTAACAAAAAGATACAATTTCTGAAACAGACAAGTAAAATACCCGCAATACAAAGATAAAAAGTCTGCTGCAAACTGTTTGAGCTCGGAGCTTTCCACAACTTGTTTGAAATCACTGCATTTGTTTTCCTGGACAAGATCTTCAACCACCACGCCACTCACATTGGGCAATTCATTTACGGGTCCTGGCCGAGTATCTTGAGAGTGTTGATGCTCTTGAGCTAATAAAACAGGCTGCTTATCAAGTTCATTGTCAAGTGAACTATTGATCTCTGATGCTAAATTTCTCCTAACTGAATCCAGCCTGGCTAAAGAACTAGTTGCTGTGTTTGCGTTGCAATCATCCTGCGACGCAACCAAGTAACTATCCAAAGTACCTTTAGCACTTGGAGACGGAGACCCATCAACCCCATGCCTTGCACCTTTTTCAGATCTCCCAGTTTTTATAACAGGTGACACAGTTTTCCTTTTCTTTGAAACATAAAACTGTACGCATAAAGCCAACAAAAAAACTGAGAAAAAAAAAATCCACTGACTACAAGAATCATAAACCACAACTAAGCAGCGATATTCATAAAATGTCATTTTTATTTTATTTTTGGTTTCATGCGTCCATTTAGATTACTTAGGTTTCAGTTTCAATTTTATCATGTGATGCAGAAATTTCAATGGAATGTGCGCAGGTAATGTTGTAGTGAACGACGTCGCCTAGGGTTTCGGAAACTGGGAATGAAATTAGAGAAGGACCTGATTGATGCGGTTCCGAGGCGAACCAGAAGCCATGGTCGAAGAGGTGGATTGGGGTGCAGAGCCAGAACAATAAGGTCCTCCTTCTTCGCCGTGCACTAGCCGTGAGAACCACGCGTACGACGTCGCAGAGTCCTTCGAATCCTCATGTCGATCGCAGATAGAGGACGAAGCGGTTTATTACTAGGCGCTACAGAACACTCACAGTCACTGATAGCTAGAAATTGAAATTGAAATTGAAATTTTTCGCGGAATGGGCTGTGTTTGGATGTTGGATAATGATATACCTACTTTGGAAAACAATACTACATAAATTGGAATGGCAATTGAACCCCAATTCAGAGCTCGTTTGTATTGACTTATCAAAAAAGTTTTTTTATGATTTTTTTATTTTAAAAGTATTTTTTATAAAAGCTACAATTATTTAGATTTTTAAAAAAATATTTAATTTTTAATAAAAATATTTGACTTTTGACTTCTGTTTTTTTTAGAAGCTAAAATTTTTAGCTTTGGAAAAAAAGCATGTTTATTACTTTTTTTTATGATTTATGCTATTTTTAAAAGTAGGTATATAAACAGACGTTTTTCGAAAAATGTTTTTTTCTTAAAAAAAACGGCTTTTGAAGAAAAAAACTCATCCAAACCGGTTCTTAGTGACTTGGCTTTTTAAGGGCTCGATGGTTGGATCGGAAATGGATTTGGTAGATAGAATATGGGATTGACAAGTGTCTAGTATATCATGTGTTTGATGTGCATTAAACAAATAATATAATATGATAATATTATCTTATTCAGTGTTTGAGACGAATTTTATTATATCATATTAAAATTTATTTTTCAATATAATTTTTTTTTAAAAAAATTATATTATTTACGCATTAATTTTTATAATAAACTATTATAAATATATAAAAGTCAATATTTTAAAAAATATATGTTAAAATACATAAATAACTAATAAAAAATTTTTAAAAAAAAATTATATCACCGTTGAATTTTAAAAAAAGAAAATTAGTTTTAAATTGATTGTCAATATTAATGCCAATGGCTAGTGACAGTGGCTGATGCGGTAGGTGATAGGAAAGATTGGCTGGTTGAAGTGGTGTCGGTTATAGGGCTAGCAGCAATTGGTGGTGGTGACGATGCCGGCAATGGTCGGTGACAATTGTGGTGGCTGATTGATGGTAGCGATAGCGGTGATGGTTGGTGCTTAGTGGTTGGAGGTGGCAGTGACTGGTTGGTGGTGCCGGTGGTCAATGACGACGACGATGATGGTGGTGGCGACAATGTCAACGATGACCGATGGCAATTACAGTGGTGGTTAGTGATGGTTGGTGTGGTGGTGATAGATAGGGATGGCCAATGAAAGTGGTGGCGACGGTGCAACGGGTGATTGGTGACATTTATGGGGGTTGATCAATGGTGGTAGTGACGGTGATAGCAGTTGACAATGGTGGTGGCTGGTAGCTAATGGTGATAACCAATGATGATAGTGGTGATAGTAATAGTTATAGAGGCAGCTGATGGCTGGCTATGGCGACGGTGGTGGCTGGTCGGTGGTAAGGATTAACTCCCATGTGCCCAACAAAGTTCGTAAGATAACAACATACGGGTACATTTGGGATAAGAGGGATATGACATTTGTCATCCTATCATGTTTATTCCTAACCCGAGTACTTCTTTAAGATAGCTTATCCTACTGCATACAAGATAAAATTAGTCGATAGGATAATTTTATCATATCATGTTATTCACCAAATAATAGATAAGAACATGATATAACAGTATATCATATATTGTCCTCTCTATCTTGACCATCTAATGGTCCCTAAGTGGTTTACTTATCTTTCACGATGCATATCATGTCATGTGCAATAATCATTCGCTTTATTGTATGCATTTTAGAATCCACACCTATATAAACGAGGCTCATTTCTTCAGTTATGGTTTTTCCCCTCTTACATAACTTCACCTATTGGAAATACTAAGTTAAATGTTGAAGTTTCTAGCGACTACAGGTGAACCACCACCTTTTGTTCCACCACATTTAATAAAAATTATAATTTTCTTTCACATATTTTTGTGATAGAAATGCATAATCACTTATTTCACTTTTTCAGATGAAACTAGGTGAAATAATAAAATAATCATCATTCAAGATCAAATGGTATTAACTTGATTTTCCATGATAAACACGAGATTGCAACACCAATGAGAAATACGGCAAATCAATTGAAGACAAATGACATTATTATTTTAAGGAGAATGTTATATTTATAAATTTTTTGTTTACAAACTCTTACAAATTACACTAAGTATGACCGGTCATACTTCAATAAGAGTGCATGACCGGTCATACTTAGTGTAATTTTTAAAAAAAATTTTGTAAACGGACAATTTTCCTTATTTTAAATAATGACAACGACAAAGGAAATGGGAAAATTTATGTACAACCGATGATGTAGATAATGATGTTAATAGAAGGAACTAAATGGTACGATACTCAAGGGGCGTTTGATAGAAGATAAATTTTTTTATACCCGAAAAATATAATTTCTTAGAATATGGTGAGAAAATTACTTTTTCGGAAATGTTACTAAAGAGCTATTTGGTAGATTAAATTATTACCGAGATTTTATTCTAAAAAAATATAAAAAAATTTCAACACTTGGCATTCTAAGAATACCACATGGCATTTTGGAAGAAATCTGTACACAAAATAAAATTTCAATTTTTATTTTCAAAAACTTTATACCAAATGTGGGTAAATATGATTATCACTATCGCATTCTCGAAAATCTCAAAAATTTCCCTCTACGGCTCTACCAAAACCCCCTAAAAGTATAATTACTGTAACCTTAGAATATAATAATTTTATAATTATGAACTTTTTATTTATTTCTTTTGTATTTAAATATGTCAATCAATTAATATATGTTAAATTCCAATTTTATTATTTTATTTGAATAATTTTTGAACGGATTTATCTATAACACAAGAAAAAATTAAATTTGGGAGAAATTATATTTATAATTTCTTTTCCCTTTTACAATTATCTTTATGTTGTTAGTTCAACATCAAATGAGCAGTTGTAAATAGGGATGCTCATCAACCGATCTAAATCGCGGTGACCGAACCGAAAAAGCGATAATCGAATAAACCGAAAATCAAAAAATCAAAAACCGATTAAAAACCGTAAATTTTAATTGGATTGGATCGGTTTTTTTTTTTTTTTTGTAAATAATTGGATCGGTTTTTAGATGGGTTGATGAAATCGATCCAATCCAAACCGATCCAATATATTAATTCTCTCCTACCTACTTGGGTCTTTCCGTAATTATAACATAAAAATTTCTAAACTCAAGATCCATTAACTCATCAACTAAATCCAAGAAAAAATCTAGTCACATCTCGTCAACAAAATTTTATCTTTGTATAGCTTCATATCTCATTGCAAAAAAAAAAAACTATATTATAATTTTTTTTTTTTAACAAAAACTATATTATAGTTTACTAATGTTTTTGTATTTCAAAAAAAATAAAAATTACAAGTCAATATATACAAAAGATGTTATTTGCACAATAATCATGATATAAATTTTAGGATTTTCAAAAAACCAAAAACCGATCTAATCCAAACCGAAAAAAATTGATTTGGATCGGATCAGATTTGAAAAAAAATCAAAACTGAATCGATGATTTCATGATCAAACCGAAGAGATTGGATCGGATGAATTTTATTTCAAAACCGATCCAATCCAGACCGCGAACACCCCTAGTTGTAAAATAACATAATGATCTAATAACTATAAAAATAATTATAAAAAGAACATAAGAAAAAAGAAATTATAAATATAACTTCTATTTTTAACTATATCATACAAAAAAAATCCCTATAAAATGGTTCAAAGCCGGTCTCAAAATCCGGACGAATCTAGCTGCAAAACAAAAAATCTAATTACGAAAATAGCGGCTGGGAGTGCCAGCTGTACCATATAAGATACTAAGGTCGTGTCAGGGTTTTGTATTTGACTTCAGTTCTTTGCGCCGTGTTCAATTCTCTCACCACAGAGAGGTTAGAGCTTGTTCTACAAAATTTCCCTCTTTTTTATTTTCCTTTTCTCTTCGTATCAGAATTGATATGGCAGAACCACACATGGGAGAAGAAGAAGAAGAGAGTCTTGAATTCAAGTGGGGCAAAAAGAGAGGAATTGGTGGTAAGAAAAAGGATGTTCAATTCTACGGTTCTTTCACATACGATGGTGATGAGTACGCACTCTTTGATAATGTGTATCTTCACATTGAAAGTGAACCCGAGCCTTATATTGGGAAGATCATAAAGATATGGGAGAATCGTGACAAGTCCAAGAAAGTTAAGGTTCAGTGGTTTTTCCGTCCGCGTGAGATTCAAAAGTTCACTGAAGGAATCGAGATTCTTGACAACGAATTGTTCTTTGCTTGTGGTGAAGGCATAGGCCTCACAAATGTCAATCCTTTGGTAATTGGATTTTTTTAACTTTTTTGAATTCTCTCTTGTTTGGCCTTTAATAATGTTGTTTATGGTTTTTGGGGGGTAAAAGTTATATGTGACTTGTTTAGTTACATTAATCTCGTTTAATTGGTTTTTGATTTTAATTATCGATTATTCAATTTAGCTTGGTTTGGTGCTGACTAGCAATGTTTAACTTTAATTGAATTGGCTATGTGTTTGATCATTTTGTGTACCACATCAGGAAGCTGTTGCTGGAAAATGCAATGTTGTTTGTATTTCTAAGGATGACAGGAATCCACAACCATCGGATGAAGAACTTCAAAGGGCTCATTTTGTATTCCGTCGTTTCTTTAATGTTGGGGAGAAGAAAATTTTGGATGAGATAGATGACAAGATTGCTGGAATTGAAGGTATGTGGTCTTCTTCATTTAAGAATTGTGCTGTAAAATTCCTCATAGTTTTTGTTTTAAAATGGAATCACACATATAGCTGTCAGGTTAAGGGATTTCTCACACACTCGGCGGCACTCACTCTCATATGACTTGATTTTTTATTGCGCTTATCTTGTGCTTTAAGAATTTAGCTAAAACTTTCCTTTTATGAAAAGAAAAAGAGGGAGAACTTGAAGTGGTGATATAGCTACTCCTTGGTGGCCATAGGTCACTTGTTTGAATCTAAAAAAATAGTCTCTTTGCAAAAAAATACAAGGGTAAGCCTGTATATAAGGATTTCCTTGCAAGTTGGGGTTTCAAGGGATATGGTTTTATAGCTTTTTTAAAAGAAGAAAAAATTCACTAAATTGTTCATGACAATATCTGTCATAGTATTTTACAATCAAACTTAGGTTATTATCTTCAGTTGTTTAGTGTAATTGGAGGGAGATTTGGAGAAACTTGAAAGTGCACTTTTTTCACATCCATGTTGAATGTTTTTCTTATTTTTTTGGTCTCCCATGAGGCGTCCCCACTTCCTTTTGGTGTGGGACTAATCCTTACTCATCCTTTTGAAGGTGTGGCCTGGGCCACAAAATGCAGCTAGTGAGATTCAAATACCCTGCATTGCAGATAGAGTTCATCGACATGAAGCTCTGATTGCCAATCGAGTCACTCCTCCTGATTTGATGTTTCTTTTGTTTAATAATGAGAATGTTTAGTTCTTACGTGGACCTATATGTTTTCAAAATTGAGTTGTAAAATACTTTGAATGCTTTTCCTTGTTTAATCATAATGTTTCAGTTGTTAGTACACCAAAATATTTCACAGCAGATGTAAACAACCCCCCTGAACCATAGGAAATAGCATAAGTGTGATTCTATCTAGTTTTAAATTCTTGAATATCTTATAGATTGTTTTTCTCAACTTGTTGCAGTTAAAAATATATTTAACAAAAGAGAAAGTCAAGATGGAAGTTAGTAGGAAGCAACAGGTAAATGATTATTGTGTTGGGGAGGAAGTGCCTTTCTAGTAGTTGAAGCTTGACAAAAAGACAATGACTTCCTAGTGAAAAGCTGCATTAGGAATCTTGTACAGAGTTACCAAATATGGAACACAAATTAGAATTTTGTGTGATGGAAGTCACTTGAAGATCTGATTCTGTATGTTGTACTGCACGGATTGGTGCTTGCTTGTAATTCATGCTAGATTATAAACAAATGATGATTCATTTGCATTTAATGACATTTGATTGTGAAATTTGGTGCCCTTGAATCAATGTAGTTTCTTGACCTTTTGGTATGCATTTCCTTTTTATATCACTTCTTTCTTTGGATATAGTTTATGACTGTGATTCACTTATTATTATTTAAATACAGATCGAGCAGTTGTCACTTTAAATAACCACTGGAACTGACTAACTTGTAACTTCCTATTTGTTCTGTTTTAGGGTTCCCCCCTAATAGAAATAGAATTTGGTTGGTGAGAACTAGCCTTTGATCATGGTTTTCCATAAGATGGATAATAATGTATACACGTTCCCCTCCCTCCAGGGATCACGAGCTTTGGATTTGTTTCAAGGTCAATAATTTTATTCAACATGCCTCATGTATGCAACTCATAATGACATGATAATTAATTCATGATGTAGGTCATGCTTTTGTTATATTTAAACAAAGGAAAAAGTGTGTGTCCTTTTAAAAGACACCCACTTATATTCTTTTAAGAGAGGTAAAGGAATAAACTATGAGAGAGAGAAAAAGTGGAGGGAAAAGTTTGTAATTTAAAATTTAAAAAAAAAACACTACATTCATCTAAAAGGACCATCCTTTTAAATGATAGACATTTTTCCCTTAAACAAAAGCAAGAAGTGGAGCTGGTTATTCAAAAATTATATACAAGGGTTGTTTATTTATGTCAAATGGATGGTATGCACACAGCTCCAAATGCATGATATATTGTATATTAACTGCTGTGTCAAATATTTTGAATCCCATTATGATATTCATTTGTGTACATGACACATTTGCAAAACTTGATAATTATACATTCTAAAGATCTTGCACTAGGTGAGTATTTTTCTCATGAGCTTAGCAGTGGCCTCTTTTGCTTCTGACTTGGAATTTGAAGATGAGTTGAGATGAAGTAGTTTCATATATGTAGAGCTGGGTGAAGACATGTGAAAGGTATAGTAGGAGTTTGTCTGGTAATAAATTTCTCTTTAACAGGAAATGCTTTAATACTCTCCTATGGTAATAGATCCTTCAGTAGTGACATGTGATACTGGATGGTGGGGCTTAGGCTTGACTCGTTAAGTAATTGAGCCTATTTTTTGGGCTCAAGATTGGCTCGTCTTAAAGTTCAGGAGCACTTGTACTTTTTGAGCTAATATGGAAGGACAGAGTTATATTTATAAATTTTTTGTTTACAAACTCTTACAAATTACACTATATTCTTTCCGGAGAACACTATCTTCTCTTGGAAGCACATAGTGTAATTTGCAAAAATTTATAAATTTTTTTTGTAAATGGATCCTTTCCCAATATGGAATATTGTACTTATTGAGCATATTTTAGATATAGTGAGTTAAGATCAAATTTGCAATATTCCCCCCCTATATATTTAGTTACAAAATAATTTAGTCAAACCAACTATTTTGTAACAATGTCAGCTCGTATTACAGATTCTAGAACTTGCTTATTCTTCCCTATGAAATTGACGAAGTCATTTGTGAAAAAAATATGTAATTATGTTACTAGGAAAATCTGCTAAAATAAAAAGGTATTGAGAGATTAGGAATTTCTGTGTAGGTAGAGGACTTCAGGAGATTTGGGAAATTATGGAATTGTAAACATTATTGGTATACAACCTGTGAAAAACCGAAGAAACAGACGAAGAACTACTATAATTTTTTGGGTTCTGAGGTCGTCATTTACCTTGGCTCTCTCTTATAATGGTTCCCTCTTGAGCAGAAGCCTCCTTTGTCTTCCGCTATTGCTAATTATTGATTTGATTTGTACATAATTGATAATTAATTATTGATTTGACAAGATTAGTGTTATTCATATTTCATACAGACACAATCTTTATAGTAATTTTTCATAGATTTACGCGCGACAAATTATTAATTGGGACTTGGAAAGATGTCAAGTGGAGTCAATAATAAAAGTAATCAAAGTAGCTCAAAAACTGGTCCTTCAAAACTTTTACATGTAAGCTGTACAATTTTTAATACATTGGTGTCATGGTGTGGGCATGTATTATTTTGTATTTGATAATTAGTTAATCGTTTTGTGCATAGAAAATTCTCAAAAGATTTATGTGATAAAGTATTGTATCTAAAATTTTTTATTGAAAGGAATAAAATGATATAGATTTTATCATGTTTTCATTCCATTCTTCTTATTTTAAATAATTCAGACAATGAGAAATAATTTTATTCTATTCCATTTTGCTCCATTCTATCCTTTTTTCATTAATCAAACGTAGCAGCTTAAGTAGTTATTTATTGGCAGCATTAGTTCATCCTAGTTATGCCGTTCAACATAAGAAGGAATGTGAACGCTGGTACCTTTTTAGTAGGTGCAATAAACTAGACGGGATTCACCTAATCTATTTAGTCTGCAGCTGAAGATTTCCTTATGTTATTTTTCGGTCCAAAGAGATTATAATAAACCTCCTTAATTGAATACTATGACTCGTTTATGCTAGTGTGTTGTGACTTTTATCTATGTAGATGTTTGAATTAGTTTATTTTATTATTTAGAACAAATAAAATAAGCTAATAAGAAACATATTTAAATCACAAAATATGCATGGTAAGGGAATTCTGTACATGACCATTGACTTATGAAGAATAACAAAGGAATCACTACTAAGGCTAACTTACTTGGTTTTGAATTATCCACAGTAGGTAGATTAACTTATAATATTCAGCATAATCCATTTGAATGTAATAAAATTAATTCTTACATAGAAAGGACCCTATGGAACAGAGGGACAGATAGGTAGGCGGCTAGCAAAGGATGACTCTTTCGGCGGTCTTACTTTGACACATTCATTTTAAGGCAAAGGTTTGTTAGTTACGTTGGTGTCTCTCTTTTAATATTCAAAAGTGCCTAATCAATTTAAGAAACTTGCTAGCTGCCATGGCGTGTGGTCCATTCTCCAAATGATAAGAATGAAACAAATAAAATAAAGAAAAGATTCGGTTTTTCCTGCAGTTACGTGGAGACAAGTTATCTGCAATAAGTTCAATACGATATGGGCAGAAATTATTATATTTTTATAATTTTAATTTATTTTAGAGTTATTATAATCTTTATAATTATAATTTTTTAATTCAAAACAACGTCGTTTTAAAGATAAATGCAGATAATTTGTCTGCGTTAACTACTGAAATATTTTTTTCATAAATAAATACCCATTTCATAAAGTGGCACGTAAGCTTCAACAATAGGGTAGTTGGGCGTTGGAGAGTCACTCAATAAAGAAAAAGCCTAAAAAGGAGGCTAATGAACCCCCTCCCTCCTTCGTTCCTTTTGCCCAAACCCCATTAAAATATATATATATATATCCCACATCATAATTTCATGTGACATGTCTCATCATGCTCATGATATGAAAAGTACACTAACCTTGCTTTAAAAGGTTAAGGATTTGAAGAAACTGAGGTAGTCTTTGCAAATGGATATCAAGAAATACTGGTTCAGTTCAAGCAGTTCAACAATTCAAAACATAAGGTTAGGTCGGAGCTACACAAAACCCCACTACTACTATCAGAGCAATATTTATGATGGCCCAAAACCAGCGTGGCAAATGCTTTGGAGAAAACTCAAAAGAAATAAGAAGAAAGTCTTTGGTTCAAGTCCTACAGTGGAGGGTATTTATGATCAAGAATCATACTCAATGAACTTTGATCAAGGAACAGGTTGGATGGAACCTGATAATTTGCCTCGTTCATTCTCATCTCGGTATGCTGATCCATCTAGGATCTTACCACCAAAACATCTATTAGATTGATGTTTAAAAATGTAGAACATGTATCTTTCTCTTCTTAATTGGTTTCAAATCCATTTGTTTGATTTTGTTCCATGGCCACATGTGCTTCCCACTTTCAACCCAAAAGAAGGAAAAATGTTCTCCCTCTCTCTCTCTCTCTCTTTTCTCTTGCGGTGTTATCGATCACATATCTTTTGATTTTCCCTTTAGATTTTGTTTTATGCAACTTATGATAGCTAACAACTATTAGACATATTAAACAATATGGTTGTATATAGAGTAGAAAACTTTCGTTATAGCTTTAAATGATTATATATATTTGCTCGTTTCAAAGTCCTAACATTGGACCAACCAAAAAGAATAGACCTCGAATTGTAGATACTTTGCTAATTTTATTTATTTATTTTTGGCAAATTTATGGCGTGGTGCTCTGCATTTGATCTTACGGAATTTGATATCGAAAAATGCTTGTGGTTTTAATTTCTCTTTCCTTATCCCTCATCCTTCCACTAGGTCCATTCAGTGAGTCTTAGGTCTGTTTGGTGTGATGTATAAGGCCTGATAGTATAAGCTTATACTATACGTTATAACATTTTAAATTGTTTGGTGTCACCATCGTATAGTATAAACTTATACAATAGGGTCTCTTTATACATCAAAATGATGTATAACTTAATCAGGCCTAGGAGTGGTGGACTAGGCCTGATAAGGGATTGATGTATTAATATTGCTTACAAGTACAATTCCCAAGAACTAATATATCATTTCAATATTTATATATTAAAATAATTTTTTTTAATATATTAATTTTTAAAATATTATCTTATACAATACCATACCAAACGCTGGATAGTATTAAAATTTAATCAGATCTTATACAATCAGGTCTTATACTATCAGGTCTTATCTTATACTATGCACCAAACATGCCCTTAGGCTTCAAAAAAAATAGTACACCCCTAACTTAAAATGGAGAGAAGTTTTCTCATACAAGCTAGCATTGAAATACTGAAAAGTTAGACTAGCACTCCATGGATAGGAAAAGTTAACTAAATTTTGGTAGAATTTGGTTAGATTCTGATAAGTTAATGGGAACACTTAAAAGTAAGTTACGGTAGTTAGGGGAAATGCTTGAAGAAATTATTGATAACCTTGATGTTAGAGGCGGCATCTCAAGAAGCAGAGAAAGAAAGAAAAGAACCGAGAGGGAATTAATGACCTAAAATTATTCTTTATTATTCTTGTGATATCCACTTCACATTACATAGCCATCTATTTATAGCTAC